GAATGTGAGCCAGACTCTTCAAAGTCTTAAGACGTAAATCTTGAAGTTTTTAAAACCTAGTTGTTAGATATTGCCATCCATAGTTTAATTTTTCGCAGTCGTTTAAGTCTCTCAGGTATTTGGTCGGCTCGTGAGAGGCTAATACGCTACACTTTCGACCCAAGGTAGAGTACATTAATTCACTTTGTCGTAGTTAATTTTTTTATCCCCCAAAACACAGGGGCACCCAACCACCGAATGTTTCCAAATACGCCAGAAATGTTTCAGATGGATTTCTCTATGCTTTAGAAGCCTGTTTGGTTCATTTAGAGTTGCCCTAAAAACGTTTTATCTGTTCGGATGTCTTAGGGGAACTTTGGTCGTCACGAAAGTTTTAGGTGGCTTTTTCGTCTCATCCGAAAGTGTTAGCTACCCTTACGGGTCTGGTCTAAAGTTTGAGGACATGAAGTAGCCTTGCTTTCATTAGAAAATTATAGGGGACGTTTTGTCTTTATACCGAAAGTTTTAGGAGACCTTTTTTTAACAATAATCTCAATACTTTGGTATTAAAATGTGTGTAACACAACCTCCAAAAATCATAGTTAAGCTATTACAAAACCTCCGAATATTTTAGACATTTTGGAACGGTTATCCAGAACTTTTTAGCTTTTCCCAAGCTTTAGAAAGTGCTAGGCAATATTTGCTCCTTCGAACAGTTATTTTACAGAAAAAAATTGCTGGGTGCCCCTGAAAACGGCTATGTTTGTTAACACCTGCTTTTCCTTGTCAGAGATAAAAGAGAGATTTTCAATTACCCGATAAGTTGTCTTAGTATAATTATAGTATCATCAACATTACTTTTACGCAAAGCGCGATCTAGCATTTTCTTACTCCCGCATGATCGCATAATAAGGACGAAAGTGACTCAACGCTGTTGGGACCATTCTCATCACAAAGCGGTTATAGTTCTTAGTTTCATAGCAGGACAGCGACACAAATCATAACCGACAATTATTCTGTTTTGAGATGCACCTCAGTCAAAATAACCGCAAATCCTGAAGATCTTCAATTAGCAACTTTAATAAAGAAGTGAAGATTACAGGACATAATATTAAGATTTTGTACATGATATAAATAGGCGAAGATTTGGCGTAAGGGGAGTGAAAAAGGGTTACTATTTCCCGATTATAATGTTCGTAAAGAATTCTTCTCAAGTGTCTGGTTAACTTTGACTTTTGCTTGAGTCTGTGATCGAGGTTTGCGGGGCGAGACTTTCCTTCGCTAGCGTTCAAGCGCCACTGTTTAACATTATTTGTTGCAACCCACAATTCTGTATCAAACTAGTGGATGGAGTTCGCTAAATGTATCGCGGCGTTTATCCAGAATATCTATATGACCAGAACAAAGTTACATTTGTTACATTTCAAAGTTACATTTACCTTTCAAGAAATTCAATTTTCTGCTTCGAAGACAGCAGGTGGGAATAATTCCGTTGGAATTAGACAAGTTGTGAAAACAAAATATTGCGGTTGTGGCTCCAGACGTTCCAGAGTATCATCAAAAGCGTTATACCGGCCGCTACAACTGAGACCTTTTCTTCAAAACACTATTTTGTAGGGAATTATTTTACCTTTGAATGTTGTATTTGGTTTACCGCCTGTTTAGGTAATATCTAAGAAGCCACCTAACTTCTAAGAAAATTGCAAGCGTTGTTTCCTTGGCTTTGGTTTCGTATTGTGTTTTGATTTGGTTTTACATGGTGGATCGTCGGACATGCGTTAATAATCTTGTACAACATAAATAAACCGGCCTTAGCAAAGTTTTTAAAAGATAAGTTGATTCATAAACTGCAGCTGCAAGCGCCACGTAGATAATTCAGCGAACTCAGAAGGTTACATGTAAAAGGTGGGAGGCAACTTTTCAATAGCGAGTCTTCGTCTAAAGGCAAGGTATTGTGTTCTCTTCTACAATGCTTCTTGAACTAATATAAGTTATCTTGAATTCGTTAACGCGTGTAATCGCATATGCCATTAACAAGATGAAAGAAGACTTTAAAACTATGAAGTACTGAACAACAAATCATGTTATTTTAATTCTTTATAGGGAACTAAATAACTTCCTCCATGGATGCAGTATTGGCGAGCGTTGCAGTGCTGTTTGTCGTCGGCGGACTGCCGGCCAAGGGAAATGAACCTGAAAATTCGACTACATCCAGAAGTAAAATCCCTGTGGGTTTCTATCTATCAACAAGTGATATTCATGCAAAACATGTCAAAATTTTAGAGATGAAAAACGTTAGCTTTACTGGAAGAGAACTAGGTGCTTCTGAAATATCACATTTATCTGTTGACGAGAAGTGTTCCAGGGGCCTGCCACTGTCTGCAGCCTGGCAGTATTACGGCCCTTATGTGAGGCCAGGAATGCGGGATGGAAAAGTTGCCGTTGAAGGCATTTTTCCTCACATTATCAACAAAATGCTCCATGTCTGCTGTAACAGCTCAACGACAGTGAAATACGGAAAGATTTTTGACTCTATTCGTGGTCTAGAAGGACAGCTAAATCAACCCGAGACGGCTTACGACTTTAGCTTTCCAGTCACTGGAAAAAGCCTTGGAGATGAGTCGTTTAAGGACTTGCCTTACATACCAATTGTACAAGCTCCACGAGTAGCACTGCTTGTTCGTGACAAGACAGAAAACACCAAGACGGCGCAGCTGATGAACACGGTTTTCAAGGCCTGGCCGATCCTCATCTTTATTCTCGTCGCTGCTACTCTGTCTGGTATTATTATCTGGTTATTGGTAAGTGTCTAAATTTATGGAAAATCTTAAGCTAAAATCTAATTCTTAATCGTTGAAGAAGTATGAAAAAAAAAATCTATTTTCTTTCCACAATGTCTTCTGTGGTCGACAGAAACCGATCCGGGAAATGGCAACGGAAAAAATCAACAACAAAAACAGAACAAAAACCGTACCAGACTCCTTCTCAGGCTTCTCTTCTTGATATATATAAACTCAAACTGTATAGCTACGCGGGTAAACGTCGATAATTGCACATTTAAAGCTACAGTTCACCCTTACAATCAGTCCTTATGTTCAAACTGTACATATTTTCACAAGAAAAACGTACACATCATTTGAAAAATAAATATCTTTTATTCTCTTCTATGCCAAGGACAGCTTTTGATTTTATTTTTTCCACTGATCGATCATGAATCAATATGAACGTACTCGATATGCAGCGCTAGTAAATGTCGTTATTTCCTGTTCAAACTTGTATTAAGGCGAGTTAAGGGTCGGTGGTTTATTGTGCTTTAGTCCAGTGGGACTCGCTTATCTAAGTGGGTACGGTGATCAAACCTCATCAATCTTCATAACTTCTCTGATTATACTGTTTTGACTGCTCAAAAGAAGATGTCAATTGAAAGGCTAGATTTCAAACCTCAAACTTCTCGAATGAATAGCACTATTAACAAAATATATTAGAACCTCGAACTAAAAACTGCACTTCAATGTCAAATAGCTGTAAGTGATTTTGGGGTAAATGATGGGAAACGGAAAATTTTAGACCCTTCACGACAAAAGCCGGTTTTTTCCTTGGACTGTCATGAAGAAGAAGTTGTTATTACTGTCCTCAAAAACGGGTTTTAAGAGAACAACAGTAAGACCAGAGGTTTACATTTTACCGCCGGCATTGACCCAGCTACTAGAAAAATCATTGTCAGTGGCTTTATCAGTGAGAATGACATAGTGACATATCATGTTTTGCAATTTCTCCGTCAAAGTTCAATTTGTTAGATTTTTTTTACCATGAACACGTTACGACCAAAGCCAACTTTTAGGATCATTATATTTTGTTTGTCGGATCAGAATGTACAACAGTTTTTTTTTCTTCTTTCTTTCTTTTCTTTTTTATTGTCCCCCCGACTCGGCGTTGTTTTCTTTTTTGGCCGATTTAAAAATTAAAAGTGCCTCGATTATCTCATCTGCTTTATTATTTCTTGAGCGCCTGTGGAGTCGGTCTTCTGAAAGAGATTTAGTTGCATTGATTCCATAAAATAAAACGATTTTTGGTAATTACCGGTTATATATATGTATTTTTTCTGGGGAGATGCATGGTGATTCAGGTTTTTGGATTGACGGTCATTTGTAGTCAAAACTGACTAGTGAATAGGTCGGAAATAAAGTTACTTCTTTGAGCGATTAACTTTATCAATATTTCACAGCACGATTCGGGCAATCCAATCAGATAATCAGTTTTGATTGGTGGGATTTTAATGGAATTGGAAGATTCTTAGCCATTAGGCGTAATTGCATTGTTACTAAGTGACTAGAATTTTTGCAAATTGAAGGATTTCATTCAAATTATATGTTATCAAGTGGCGTGAATTCGTTTTTAAAGTAAAGAGGAGCGCTCAGCAGTTGTGATGAGCCTCGTTGATTTTTGTTATACAGGACCGTCTTAAGAACCCGGATGAGTTTCCGAGACCTTTCATCAATGGAACATGGGAAGGCTTTTGGTGGGCGTTCGTTACTATGACAACAGTAGGGTGAGTGAGTACTTCCCGATTACGAAAGACTAAGCCTTTTCTTATATTCTCTTTGTAATTGAAATCAGGGCTTGAAAAATCGCTTTGTCTTGTCGTCTATTTCACTAGAATGTTAGTAAGTTGCGATTAATAGGGAACTTAAGAACCACGACGAAGTTCACGACGACGACGTCTGTTGATTGGGACAAGACTGGAACGAGAACGTCAGTTTCGGCGGGAAAAAGGATACTTAAGATGCAGTCGGCCGGTAGGTCGACGACGACGCCACTGAATGTAAACACAAATGTAAAACTGTGATGTTCGTTTACAACAAAGTTTTCGGCAATGGCGTCTTTTAAAACAAAGTCGTACGTCTAATTTCATTGACGATGAATAATTTTTTGCGTTGTCTGACCTTTTCGAGTGGAAAAACACCTGCTTTCCTTACGACGATTATTCAACTTTCAACCTGAGTGAGATGACCGAGTCCGAGCGTCTGTTAGAGTAATAGAGTTGGAGAAAGAGACATTCTGATGTGATAACTGTTTTCCATGTAAAGTTTATTTCCTCTGTATTAAAGATATGATTTGCCTTACCGAGTAAATACGTACAAATAAATTTATCACTTACGAGTTCGCTCACTCGGCCTCCACAGCTTTTGTCATTCTTCGAAGTAAAAACAATTCATTAGTCGAATTTTCAATCAACATCGCTTGGTAGGAGAAAAAAGGAACGATATCTGGATTTACGAGGATAAGAAAATGCACAGGACTTCAAAAATCGCCTACAGTGGATTTATGCCTGCCGAAGCTTGTGGATTGCAGGACGACGTGATTCTACTTTGTTTGGCGTCGTCGACGACACCACGACGATGAAATTTACTGGTCGCGCTTGCGCAGTACACTGTAAGTCACTTCCGGTCGTCGTCGACAAAGTCGTCGTCGTGGATCTTAATTTCCCTAATTAACATACCACCCACTTACTTCTAGTGTTTAAACAGATAAAAACTGTTCTTGAGTCTAAATGTTTTGAAATTTCTGTTCATAAAAGTACTGTAGCTTATACTTGATTGAAACGCGCCACTGATTACACATTATTCAATTATCTTTGCAGCAACATTTAGTCTAAAATCTCCATAATGTTTACTTGGTTGCAGATATGGTGACCGCGCACCTAAGTCGTTCTTAGCGCGTATTTTTTGTATCTTATGGATCCTGGTTGGAATCATCATCATTGCTATATTTACTGCAATCGTAACAGCCTCGTTATCAGCAAGTATTCAGCATCACTTCACTGTGCATGGCTCTGTGGTAGGTTCTGACATTAGGCTGAGAAAACGGCTGACATTTCGCAAAGCCACCAGAACGGTTTTCACCGGCTATGACGTCTGAGGAACGAGCGCAGAAAATTTCATACTGAAGTTGTGTCACTACCCTGATATGGTTTCGTTTGGAAACCGTTGGTGGAGTATTTCCAAAGCCCTGAATTCCAGATTCCACAAGCGAAAATTTCCCGGATTTTGGAATCCGAAATACTTAATATTTAATTGGCATGCAAGTTCAAAGTTTCAATTGAGTAAAAAATAACCCGGTCTCAAAATATGCTCGATTTTAATATATTTCTTGCCCTATTATTCCCGTTCTCTTTTATTCAATGCAAAGCTTATTTATGTCTTCATTCAATGTCAGATCGGGGCAGTAAGTGCCAGCGAAGAGTTTCGACTCGGAGTCAGTTTGAACGCGGATTTGAAACGTAAGTTTGAAAATTTGTGTGTTTAGTTTTGAAGCTTCTACTTGGAACGTTTATTTTTGGGAAAGTGATTAAAAAGGCGCAAACGGGAGAAGTGAGAATTAAAGCAGTCGCAAGGCAAATGAAAACAAAACACTGCTAACACTCTCGGATACGAAAATGAAGAGCCATAACCGATTACCTGGTGACCCTGTGAAGGTCCCTCTGGAAAATTCGGGTTAAGGTATGCTGCGCATGCTCCCTCATACCTTTACCATATATCAGGAGAAAAAAGATAAAAGCAACAGCATACCCAGAACGTAGCTATAGAGCGTCATCTCATGACGTCAAGTCGGCCATATTGGTTTTCTGAAACAATGAAACGGCGGCGGCCATGATGGTGTTTCAAACAAATCCTGTGGGGGTTGAACACTTTTCTTATGTAAACAATTTCTTTTGTTCGCACAAATTTGCATAGATGCTGGCCACGCGAGTGAAAACGCTCTCTACCTTATTTCACTCTCAAAATCTATACCCAATTCCACACCAAAGGGGTTACAAACCACAGTCTTTGGCGCCGCACATACTTGTATCGTTTATACAGTGCATGCAGTCCTGGCAAGAATGCGAGGTATTGCTCATCAGTTATCAGTTACCGTAGGGGATTGCACGGGTAATCAGAATTAGACTCATTTGAAAGCTGCTATAATTCCTGTTTAAACTACTCAATTTTATTTCTTTGTAGCATACCTTTCCATACCAAAGATGAATGAGGATCTAATGACTGACAAATTGAAAGGCTCTTTGATTGACAACTACGTTTTGACGTACTACAGTGACTTTGTAAAAGAAAACGATGTTAGAATAGAGACTACATTTGAGCACGCTATTACCTATGGCCTTTCTATTCGCTCTAATGCCTCATCGAACATGTTGGCTTGCTTCAGACGCTATGTGCGTAATCATCCCCAGGAAGCCTTTGAAATTATTGCTCAGAATCTGGAGCCGCTCAAGGTGAGATGTCTTGTTCAGTTATTTTAAGGCTGCAAGCGAGTCTGGGCCGATGCTGACGGTTGACGGTTTAGCCCATTGTGACCCTCTGTTTCTGGATTATTTAAAAATTAAAAACGCCACCTAATCTAAGTAGATGAAATGCAACTATGACGAACTTTTCAATACGCGAACGGTGTTTCAGTCAGATTTTAGATTTTTGAACAAGAAAGATATGTATCCTTTTCGGGAAGATAGGATATGCTTTGGGTGTTATAATTGTTCAATCATGATGTCAGAGATAATTGTTTATTTCAATTTACCTTAAAACTCCGAAAATAAGCCCCTCCATGTATAAGCCCCTCCAAATATAAGCCCCTCGGGGGCTTGTACTTTAAAAATTGCCCTCAAATACAAAGTAAAACAAAGCAAAAATGGTAAATTTACTTCCAACTATAAGGCTAGCCCAATCGATTTTGAAACGTAAATTTCCCTCAGTAGATAAGCCCCTCAAAAAGGGCCCTTGAAAAATATAAGCCCCAGGGCCTTTTTCGGAATTTTGCGGTATGTATTTATTTATTTACTTTATTTTTGCGAATTTTACGCGGTTAGAACCCTACAGATGAAGTGAGTCAGGAGGTGAAAGCATCTGAAGGATTGTTCTTTTACAGAGAAAGAGAATTCAAAAAAGTTCTGTTCATTCTGTTGGGCGTGCTAGGATTTCTTCTGTTTGTCGGAGGAGCCTGGGAATTGTGTTACAATCGGCCAAGGAGACGTAAGCAATTGAATTGAATTAATTTACTCCAATCAGCGTGCGCAAATATAACGCTTTGAAAAATGCCATAATATTCTCGCATAAGTAAAATTAGATGAAGCGGATTCTTTCCAGTCTTCTTTGTTGGAATAGCTCACTGGAATTCAGAGTAGGGAGATAGTAGCTTCTTTTCAGCTGAGGAATCTTTAAAAGTCAAGATCCCGTAACTTAAAAGCCTATTAAAGCCGTGTTCTCAAACACGTCGAACGAATGGTTCTGAACAGAATAAACACAGTATCTGGCAATCCTTGCCTAATGATTACATGCAAATAACGCGAGCACAGCTGCGCTAGGATGCAAATTTTACTGGCTATGCACAACACTTGCAGTTTGAACAGACAAGTTTACATGATGCACCACCAAACGTAACCCTGTACGAGAGGCTTATTTAGAGATCTTTATTTCCATGAGTGTATAAAGAGGAATGATTAGATAAAAACTTCCTTCATCGCTTTAATTTTTGTTAGTTAATGAAGAAACATCACCCTTTGAACCTACTGGCAACAAGAAGTTCCCATGAAAAGCACCCACCGTACCAACAAAATTCTGGATTAACTTAGAGAAATTTCTCTCTTGGAGTTTTTGTGAAACCAGCCCATGTTCGTGATATATATTTAAATTGTCAGTTTTCTTTTGCGTTGACTCCCAGATGAGTGCATCGTCAAATATTTCTGGCAGGTTAACTGGTTCCAAAATGGTGACGAAACATAACTTCATAGAGCATTCAAAGTTTGCTTTCTGAATGTTTCCTTTTTTGTAGGACAAAGGAAGGAAAAAGAAAATGATGGCGCGTTAATCTCACTGACGCCAGCACAAAACAAATGCGACTGCCATGAAATGCTACTGAGCCATCAAACAATCCAAAGTATCAAATACAAATCCGCAAAAATCAAAGAACTCATCCGCGAGTACGAAGAATTCTACGACGAATGGCTACAACGAGTCCGCGCAGTGGAGCATAATGAAAATGGTATCACACCACAAATGGTGTGAACAACCCAACAACACGTGACAAACATTACAACAAGTAACTTTGGGCCAACTTGTTTTGGAGGATTGTAGCTTCAATCAAGAATGACCTGCTCTCGTTTCTTGGGCCACATTGTTTAAAGCTAAAGTAGGTTGGGAGCCATACTTTTTTTATGGCGAAAGGATGTGAGAGCTGGTTATTTTATCACTGGTCAGTGTTTTGATTCTTCTCACACTTTTGACAACACTTTCAGATCGCTGCTTACTCATGACTCACGGTATTCCCAAGACAACTTTGATTTTTTTCTTTCGAACCAAAAAAAAAACCTCACTGTGTTTTAGTTTTATATTTGAGTAAATTATATTTTTTTCCACGCAGTTAGGCACTTGTTTGCTTAATCTTGAGTCTTGAACAGAATCTTCACATGCTTTGATTCAATTGACCAGGCCAGCTTCTATCCTTCTACCTTCACTTTTTGTTTGAGGGGGCAAATAGTCTGATTTTCTTTTGCCTCCTCACGTTCCAACCCATATTCTCCTTTAGGCCCGGTTCAGACGCAGAAGTTTTTCAGCTGAACCTCATTCGAATGAAGGCCGACCCAAATTATTTAGAACGGCTGCATTGATTCAGACGTCGATCTTAATTGCAACTGAACTAAGTTCAAAATTAAAGGCGAAAAATGCTCATCTCGGTCAAACTTCCTACAAAATAAGTTATAATAATTTATGCTTTAGGTTCGGTACATGAATGTTCGGCGTCTGAATCAAAGCCGTTCCAAAGTCGCTTCAAAGGCGAAATTCCTGGCCGGGTTAGGCGAAAAGAACGGCTGAGCCGTTCCAAATTGGAACAGGCATTCCTAATTGACTCAGACGCCGAACTTTGTATTAGGTTCGGCTGATGAAAAGTTCGGCGTCTGAACGGGGCCTTAGACTATCGAGGGCGTAAGTAGCTTAAAGTAATATTATGGTGTCAATGGAGTCGATTTCGGTTTGGGATGACAAAGTTATTTGTTTGCAGAGTATTTTTCTGAGTCATCACTACTGTAAATAGATGTGCAAGAGATAACTTGTCAGGACGATTTTTCGCCTTACTTGTATAAGAAAATGCACCAAACAATATTCCTCGCACTGTGAGCCTCTAACTCGAAATAGTGAGGGCAGCAATGGCACGATCATTCGATGATTGAAACATTTTAAATCATAAAGCTTCGCAAAGCACTATTTCGTTTAAAGCACTTCACAAACAGAAATTTTGGAATTTTTGTTTTCTATTTTGATACTTAAATTGGCTCCTTTTGGAGGTAATTCTAAGACAATTTTCAAGTTAACTAGTTTTAGTCACGATTAATATTTGATGGAAACGAAGAACTTTCCCTTTTTCCAAATTACCACTTAATCCTTGCAACCAATCTCACTTTGTTGTCAGCATTTGTTTTATCGCAAGTTATAATAATCGTTTGTTTATTCATTGTAAAAAGATAATAATTTAATTTTATGCACAATTTTCCACCCACGATTTTCTTGACCAGCTAGATGAAAGGGACATACATAACGTTCCTACCCTGACTGAAAACCGACGTGAGTCTCTTGCCCTGCACCATAATTCGTCATACATAAAATTCCATAACATACCAAGGAACGCAGGCTTTGATTGCACCCCCAAAAGGGATTGCATAATCAAAAAACGTTTTCAGTTTTGCTTTTCAGTTGCCATTTTAACTCCCAAGAGAAACCGAAAAATGAATGTTAAACTTGCATTAAAATGACAAAAGTTGCAATCAACTACAAAACCTAACGACTTCTTTTAGTTTTGGTTGAACCGTACATTATTCTGTTTGTTCATTGACACAAAAAGATTCGTGCTCAGTTGCTGCTCAGTTGTAGATTGTAATAACTAAAGAAGTATAAGGACTAAATTGCAATGAATATTATACTTGCATTAAAATGACAAAAGTTGCAATCAACTAAAAAACCCAACGACTTCTTTTTGTTTTGGTTGAACCGCACACTACTCCGAAAGTTTGAAGTTTTCCTGCATCTGAATAGTTTGCTAACCCCCATAGTTCTCCCCATGAAAGGGAACCGGGATTCTGGAATTCGGGAGATTTTGCCTGTGGAATCTGGAATCCTGGGCTTTGGAATCCGGAATACAGCTTAAGGAATCCGGAATCCCACTTAAGATTGGAATCCAGGATCCACTGACAGAGACGGGAATTCAGAATCCTAGACTGTCTCGGACTGTGCCATAATGATGACCGTTTATGAGTGTAGCTCGGTTTTATAAATGTGATATTTTTGCGCAATTTGATCACACCAAAATGTAATTAAAAGGCGCCCAGATACTTAACATGATGTGGGACTTTCTTGTTATTTGTATGTTCTGTAAATTCGAGGTTCGGGAAAGCTGTTTTACAACCTTTAAGTATGATTTTTTTTCCTTAGTTTTCTTAACGAAACAAACAAATTTAACAACGTAAAACTACTACATAACGAACAGACATAACAAACAGATAACATCAACGCTCCAAATTGATTTAGAAGCAGCATTAAAGCTATTTATACAACACACCGTCTGAAAGTCTGAGAAAGATGGAGAAGCGGAGAAGGCGAGACCAGGAGCGTTCGGCTTAGCCACCTATCGATTAAGGAGTGCCTTGTGTAATGGAAAACCTGGCAGCAGACAGAGGAGCATGGAAGGAAAGGGAGCGTTTGGCTTAGCCACCTATACTATCGATAATGGAGTAATCTGTACTCCTGACCTGTGGAAAGTGACCTGTTGAAAAATTTCTCTAGCTGGACAAAATTCCAGGTCACTAGAAACAGCATAATATGCGTAAAATGCACCGTTATTTCTCCTAAGCACAAGGCTCCAGTGCTTATGTCAAGCTCGGTTTAATGGCTCTGGCAGTTGATTGAGCCTGTGCCTTTCATTGATCTGAGCAGCCGTAAATCTTTCTGTTAAGCTACGTGCAAACCAACGTAACAACTCCCAAAATTGTTGGGCTAACAATGTTCAGAGTTATTGCGTCCGTGTTGGCAGTGGTGTGTAAACGGATGCAACAACGCAGTTAATGAACAGTTTATGATACAGACGCTATATAAATAAAGTTTATTATTATTATTATTAACAACTCCCAGTAATGTTGGGACCTGCAGTGCATCATGGGAAGGATACAACCCATAAGACTTTGGAGACCATGTGTAATGCGCGTGCGTGGCCCCATGTTGGACGAGCTGTGCAAACGGATCCAACATTGTTGCGCTACGCTTCGGGGATCACGGAACAAACGAAAGGTTGGAAGTTGTTGGCTCAGAAGTTTGATCGGTTTCAAACTTTGCGCAACAACTCCCAACAACACGCAACAACATGCAACAGGGTGTGAGAAGGACGCAAACATGGAACATCCAACAATGTTGGGAATTGTTGAACAACAATGTTGCATCCGTTTGCACGGGCTTTGCACCTTAGACTTCTTCTACAACAAAAAAAAAATGCTTAGAAAAGTGACTGTGTTAGGACTGTGGTGCGCATGCTCAGCGGTATTACGCGCCAAGCGTGTGTGTGTGTGTGTGAAGACGAATATGCCGGAGATCGTTGTGTTTACCGTTCCGTCTACGTGTTTGTATACAGTGGTACCTCGATATCACGAGCCTCTCGTTAAATCGAGGTTCCACTGTATTACACCTTAGAAATGGCCTTTCCGCCTGGTTAACAACAGTGACTGTATTCTTCAACTCTCCTTTTCAGACCCACCATTTGCCCTGAGAAACGACGATCATCGGGCCTCTTCTTTATTCACTAGGCACTCAAAGAGCAAACAAAGACCAACAACAAAATAATTTAATAGACTTTCTATTATAGAGAAGTACAGCCGCTGGAGGTCAGTTTTGCATTTTCAGTCATTAGGAAAAAAAAGGATGAAGTATAAGTGTATTTACGAACCAAATATGGTCCTAAATTTTTTTCACACTGAAACTTACGGGAAGTTTACGTCTATTATCTTTGTTTTCGTTTCGTTGGTTCCTTACCGGTTAATTGCAATAGAACGCCGGGGAAACTCAAGTTTGCTCGGAATAACTGTAGTTGGGCCCGCGGAGAAGTTAACAATTGGAATAAACAGACAAGGTCAGATGTTCAACGATGGCTTATTTAGTCCGCGGTTTACCAAGAAGCAATGCACTTCCAGATTTGTTAAAATAGAGATCATTTAAAGATGTTCCTTAGCCGAAATATTTCAGTTACGGTTGGCCGAAGAGGAAATTGTGTTGAAGTGATTTTGTTAAATAACCATCTAACTCTGTTTAACTTATTAACTTCTCCCCCCCCCGGAGGACGGAAATTTTTAACTACACTGCAATATATCTTTTCTTACTCAGTTATACATCTAGGCTTCGTATTCAAAAGTCCACCTCAGTATTCACTTGACTACTTATATCAGATTCTATTATCTCCAAAGGAACATCATACTGCTGGTCCATTCCCATGTAAGCGTCGTTGATGAGGTACACCGTGTAGATCTTTCTACCTAGGTCCTCAGGCATGTAGCACGACAAGGGCACGGTACTTGTCGCGCGCACTTGTCCCACTCTCTTCACGGCCAACAGCTCACCTGTGTCCATCTCGCCAAGGACCACCCACCAGCCCACATCTTTCGCTTTAGGGAAATATGGCGCATGTGCTTTTGTGTTGGAGCGCTAAAAAGAAAGAGTAGCTGTTAGGGTTGGGTTAATATTTGACAAATTAAATAAAATTAAATAAGCTCGATGAAGTTTGAAGCAGTGCGAATCTACTTTTAGTGACATTTTGATTTGCAGTCATCCAGGAATTTTGCTACCGTGGCAAAGTGACGTAAAGACTTCTCCTCTCTATTTATCAACTATCATCAAATTATAAACTAGGGGTTACAAGTTGTAAGTATCATACAACGATCAGATGCTGGATGCTAAAACATCGATGAAACGATGAGCTGACATACACAATTTACTAATTACAGACGCTTTTATAGAAAAGAGAAGTCGTTAAGTCACGTTGCCACGGTAGAAAAATTTTTGGATGACAACAAACCGAAAAAGTCACTTAAAAGTCTATTCGCACTATTTTAAACCTCACCAATCTTATTCACTTTCATTTAATTACGCAAATCTTGGCGAAATTTTCTTTGGGACCGTATCTATCGTTTTCTTAGTTCAGAAAAAGAAAGGGACAATTTTTGTGTTGTGTTCACCTACTCCATAAAGCGGGCTCGTGAAATTAGGAAGTTTCATGCAGTAGTGGCGAAACGACGGCAAAGAAATGTACAAAATAGCGTGTGCACGTGCAAAGTTGTTGTTTTTTAATATAAAGATATTATTTTTTGCTATTCTTCTTGCCGTCGCCGTCGTGGTTGGCTTTTGTTGTCATTCAGAAATAGGGCTGCCATGGTAACGTGACGTCACACTTCTCCACTCTATTGAGCCACTAGACCATTTTACAGTTATGGGCTTAGTGTCCTAGCCTTTGACTGGACATGAGGTTGAGGTTGACCTTGTTTAGATACAACCTCCTCCCTTTTCTAATGTAACTTTTGCTTAAAAATACTGCATAAAAAATATATACATAATAAAGTAGGACGGATTGTATCAAAACAAAGTCAACTCCAGCCTCGTTTTCACTTGTAACTGTAAAATGGGCTATTAATAAGTGTTGGATAAAGGATTTCGAGGAAGTGCTACAATAACATGTTCTGTGTGATTTGGGTCTTAATTGGCCAGTTGACTATCATGCGAAATTAATTTGAAACTAGCTTCGCGCGCCTCAATGTTGAATTACTACAACAAAAAACAAATAAAAAAAAATGTTAAGTCAAAGTATGCAACGCTTTACCTTAAAACCAAAACTTTCCCTGGAGATTTCAATTATTATGACGTACTCTTGCTCGGCATGCACTGGGACCCAATCTTTCACGTATCCTTCTGTCTGCGCTGTACTAATAGCTTTAGTTTCCTTCTGTCCGGTCTCATTCTCGGCCCAGACTCCGCGAACCTTTATCTTCACGCTGATTTGAGGGAGACGACCTAACACATTGAACACCTATAACGATACAGCAAAACGGGGATAAAACATTTATTTACGATCACTACATTCAGAATTTATTAAAGGTGAAAACAAAATTATCCACAGCAAGGGATTTGACTTCATCAGGCCCATAACTTAACACAACATAACACTTGTTAGAGTCGTTAATGCCCTTGTATAATGATGTGCCTTACCCCTCCCCTCCATACTCCTCATTTTTCTCCACCCACAGCTTTACAGTGGCAACAAGGTCCCCGCTTTTTTAGTACACTTTACTCAGCTTACATAAGTAGTCTTGTGGGCACGTACGTGCTTAACGTGCCTTACTAGTAACCCGGAGGCCAGGGGTTAATTTAATAAAACTTTAACAAGTTTAATTTACAAGTTTAGCTAATGTTTTCAGACTCTAAAACAATTGTTACATTTGTAAAGTACAATCTTGCAAAAGCTTTATTAAATCGACCACAGAGTTAAGTCCACCTCAAGCAATCTTTTCATCAGTCTTAAGTTAAACTCTTGGGTTTAAAATATTATTGTAAGATGGCCAAGTGTTCTTCCTCCAGTCCATAGGGGTTTTCAACCCTTTAAATTAAATGCTATTTGTTCTAGATGTTTGCTCGGCCTTATGCCCTCCCCTTTTTTCTTTTTCCTATGTGCGCATTTGTTTAGCGTTTGTACCTCGTTTATTTCTCCAGCACTCAGAGCATCTTCCAGCATAGAATGCAGAACCTTTCTCTGACCTCTCAGAGCATCCAGCAACTCAGGTAAACATTCTAATGAGCGGCCTTCTACTCTGAAATACCGCAAGAGGCCTGGGTCAACACAGGGCAGAGTGAGGAGAGTGCAGTCGTGAAGCCAACGGCCTTGCACCACCATCTGTACAAGATGCATGCAGCGCAACGCTGTCGCCAGCCAGCCTTCAGCAGAGGCAACGTCAATCATGGCCTGAGAAGAATAAACAAGGCATGCGCAGTCAATCATCTGTGCTCGTGTTGAATGCTCCCATATTACAGGGTGGGGGGGGGGGGAGGAGGTTTAAATGAGCGCACCATCAGCCCCAAGTTTGTTAGTCAGATGACTATTTCGAGCTGCCGACGTAAAATAAGAACTCTTTACCTCTACCTTTAACTTTACCTTAACATCAAACTGGCTAGAAAAAAATCGCGATGAAGACTGAAAGAACGCAAATTCACTTTTTATGCGACGTTTTCGCTGCCGTCGAATAAGTGACGCTTTAAGCAGCAACTGAGCCTTAATCAGCGCTCGTGTTGCCTACCTCAAGAACACAATGCATCTATCTCTATTTTTTTGACGTACCTGTAAGATCCTGATGGCTTGATCAAGCACTGAGTTCAAATCCGTCAAATAATCAGTACTGGGCAGCGGCGTCCGAGAGAAATGAGCTTGGAATAGCAGATGGGCCTTGGTATGCGGGCTATCGTACGTGTGAGGGTCTACCTCAAGAGGGAGGCTTGGGGCCAGTTCACTGCAAATACAGTACAAAGTGCTTAGGGAAACTACGTTACTGATAGCTCGAGTTCATTAAACATGGCCTAAAATACACTGAATTACGTAGAATTTTCCAGTAAAAAATGCACGCAAACGAAGATTAAAAAAAGCAGCACAGGAAAGTACTCGTCTTAGGTTGATTTAGCGCCAAATTTGTTAGGATATTTCCCTTGAGTCTCATTAGGCAAAAAGCAGCAACTATTTAGAAGACACAGCAGCAGCAGGTTGCCAAATCAAAAGCAGACACATTTTCCAAAAAGGGGGAAGGATAAGTGGTGTTCCAGTTGTGAATGCCCGCGGCGCGTAACGACTGAAATGGCGCCCAAGGTAAAGTCAAAATAACATCGACCTGAAGAAGGAAGAACACCTTACGACGGTTACATAATGTAGGATAAACGTACAGTGAAGTTCAGTGATTAGGGATGGGAGACGACGTGAATGATGTGTCACACACAGTCGAAAATCTTCTAACGGCCACCTCTCTACAACGGCCACTTTCTTCAGTCCCTAAGGTGACCGTTGTACAGAGGTGCAACTGTAGTCTTCGCAACGAGTCCAGAGTCCAAACTTTCCGACGAAGTACTCGAGCCTAGTATTTTAAGGGCATATTGCTCTGTTGCAGACGCTAATTGGAAACTTCCTTTTGGATTTTCAGTGTAGTCATAATGTCTAATTAAGGGGAGGTTAACAGATTAGAATTTCCTTGTTTACTGCACTCGACGTCGAAGGAAAAAAAAAATAAAAAGAAAATTCTGGATAAACACGCTAAGGAAAAACCAACCCGTTAATTATGTCTTCATTGTGACGAACTGGGAGCTGGGAGTATTCCTCTGCGTCCTATCAAATGACGAATGGAAAGGAAAACAAAAAACGTAAGTATAAATAAATAAATAAAAACAGGAATATTTTCTTAACGATAGATATCTCACAATTCTTAGCATTGTATATACTGCCACCACTCTTCCAATTGTGAGCATTTGTCTAACAACATCTCAGAGGGCGGTCAGCGACCCACCCTCCCACCCAGGCACGACACGGTGCACTGCCTTCAATGCACCAGAATGTACCGCCAAATCACCCTTCCACATCTTATTGTATATTCATGTACATTGAAGGTGGTGAGAATATGTTACTATTTTCAAGTCACGCTCTATGATGAGAATTTCCCCGGATCGTGCACTGCACCTTGCCAAAACTCATAGAAAAAGGCTTTTTTTTAATAAACAGACTTTCACTTACCGCTAAAATCTGGATGAGTTCTGGTAAGCTACAGTCAGCATGTAACCGTTCACTAAACATGCGCAGCGTCAAATGATTTAAATAGTAGTAAGAAGAAATTCTCCCCAGTGTCGTGGCAGAAACTGACAAACCGTCCTAAAAATAAACAAGGAAGAAGTCCTTTAGTTCCAATTTCATTATCATTTCTACTCCATACGATAATAGCGTAGATGAAAACAAATATGTTTGTTTTTCCCTGTATCGATGGACAAACATTGTTCTTGTGATCAATCACTCAAAGAGCAACTATGACAATTCGTATTTAGAAAGTTAACGAATCATTAAATCAGTTAATCAAAGGAGCATCTTCAAATAGGCACGTCAAAAAGTTCTCCATTTGGGGGAAGAGCACACAGAAAACGATGATTTTAAAGTACTTTTGCATTACCAACGACTAAAAATTGTTCGCATTAAACGAGCCTCTTTAAAGCACAAACCACGATTATTTCTTTTTTGTGCTTATTTCTATCTGGAGGCCGTCAGATTGCTAGAGTAAGGTGCAAGAACTTTGTTTTTATATCGCGGGTAGGTCAAGACGTCTTCACATGCGAGTAAATAGCTTAGTTTAGCAAAGTGCCCAGAAAGCTCTCTCTTGGACATGTCATTTATCTCACCTCTCATTTGACGACTGAAAATACAGCGCTTTTACCCCGTCCCTAAGATAATCAAACAAGCAAAAGCACGGGCACTTTTTATTACCTCGCCAATCTCTATGCACGCGGACGTCTCCACCTGTGAAACAGCATCTTCTACCAGCCCAGACAGGAACTTATTTACTGAGTCATTGTTGGTATCTTCCAGCTCATAATAGCTCGGATTCATTAACAGACGGCGGAAGAAATACGTCCAAGTAAGGTAGTCCATCGCATCTTGTTTCGAGGTTATTGTTCCCGCCACAATTTCTGCGTTCAAGTGATCTGGGAGCACCTCCAGCAAACTTTAAAAATAAAAATCTTCTTAGTAAGTAACACGTCAATCGTACATAGATGTAGATACTTTTGATTGCTGGGTTTCGTGTTTAGTCTCCAGGAAATGGGCTTGCCATAAGAAAATAATGAAATAACGAAATACAATAAAATATAATCAAGGTTAATTAGCAAGCAAATCAAATTCAAAAAATGAGGCCGTTTATAAAATTCCAGTCAAATACAATCATACATAAGTCACCTCAGCACTTACCAGCGCAAATTACAACTGTTTTTACACTGTTTTTAAGTCCGTAGCGTTTTTGTTTTCAAGGCATTTTCTGCTAAAGCAAACCTGAGTGGCATCACCATTTAGAGTTTGTAGACCAGTGTTTATGAAACACATCAATGAGACTACAGTGATGACGTCATAAAAATTAAGTTTTTGAAATTATGGGATTTGAAAGAACAATGTCCAAGAGGCCTACTTACCAAAACTGAGTATTTCGGGGCAAATTGTCTCTGAGAAGTTAGCCGGTTATACTTAGAAAACTCCATAAAAACCCTCTAATTTTTGTTTGGGTCGACCCAAAAAAATTTAGAAGGGTTTGTATGGAGTTTTCTAAGCATAACTGGGCTACGATCTCAGAGAAAATTTGCCCCGAAATGCTCATTATTTGGCACATATTCTTTCAGAATATCCTGACAAATCCCATGATTTCAGAAACTGGATTATGACGTCACACTTTAGTAGTCTATTTGAATGATCATCAGTGCAGTAATTCATGATTAATACGCGCCAAACGACTCGTAACTTCTGTGCCAAGGCAAAATCTTTGAAACGCGTAAAACCAAAAGTGACAACTCTTTAGTCCGCCGACTGGTTAACACAATTGGTCAGGTAACAGACGCCAGAGAGGTAGAGCGGGTTCGACTCCGGCCGGTACAACACTCAAGAATGCGCGATCATTAACTCCGACAACTATAGACTGATTGTTTAACGCTCCTTTCGAATTACTTTTGCCTTATCTTACACGTATTCTGAGGGATGGCGGCACAAGGACAGCTGAGGACGTGGTAGTTAAGGTAAGTTACCACCTCTGGCCAGTGTACTGTCCTTGGTCTACTCTTCGGTGGGTAATTAGCCTGAGAAAACAGCCGACATTTCACGACGCCACCACAGGTTTCCTCGCCAAATGACGTCTGAGAAACGAGTACAGAAATTCCATACTGATGGCGCGTCACTACCCGGATCTGGGTAGTGACGCGTCATCGGTATGGGAATTTCTGCGCTCGTTTCTCAGACTTCATTTGGTGGGGAAACCAGTGGTAGCAGAGCTAAATGTCGGCTGTTTTCTCAGGTTAATGGGTAATCTGCATGAAAAGGTCTCTATTAAAGGAACTCCTTAAGGATACCTTAGGGCGCCTGAAAAAAGAGCATTATTACTGTAAAAACAAGGAAGTCCTTCCTTAGTTGAAGTAATTCACTGCATTTTCAAACTAACTAAACCTACCTCGACTCCACAGGGAAAGGTTCGTATAAAAACTTCTTATAGAAGTGTTTCTTGATGTCATGTACCAGGATCACAGCCACCCCATGATCATCGTACTGTGGTCTCCCTGCGCGCCCCATCATCTGAAGAACATCAGTAATGGGAAAATCCACGTATCTCCTTGTCTTGCCATCATAATACTCAGTTCCCTTGACAACCACTAAGTGTGCTGGGAAGTTAACGCCCCAGGCAAGAGTGCTGGTAGCTATCAATATCTGTTGCGACCGAACAAAAAAACCGAAACATAAATCAGGTCAACCCTGGTCAAGGAGGTGTTTTATCAAAACATGAAATTTAACCGTGATTCATGCGATCTCGTGCGCTGTCAATTGTTGAATTTTTGTTTTTGCCCAATGTTTTTGTTATTCTCAATTTCTTTTTCGTACACTTTCCCAGTGCCTTGCAACGACTCTCTTTTAATTGCTTTTCTGTGTCTGGCGCGAGACGTTTGTTTTCATGTAACTGACACTATGTTCCTGAGCTTGGCATTGGGAGTGCGTTCTCACGTGCTCTCGTTACATCCATTTCATGCTCTTCTGTTTATCCAATCACAACCACATCCAGATTTTGGATGTGTCACACGATTTGCTGAATGGTTTTGTGTCAGGTTTTCCTTTCTCTTCTCCTCCCTCCCCTCTCCCCCATCAAAAATCTCCTCTCCCCTAGCCCCTTAGGAAGGCCTGATACTCAGGCTATCCGGTTTCTTGCACTTGCCGCGAACACCCAAAGGCTCCCGATAGATTAGCACTTCGGTATATATCCATGTTTACATTGATTGGTCAGACATAGAATAAATAAGTAAATAAATATCTAAACGGTGAGTTTACCTGAACTTTCTGATTAACAAACAGTTCCTCGGCGATTTTTCTGTCTCTCTCGTGTAGACCCGCGTGATGGAGTGCAATGCCGAACGACAAAGTCAGCTTTAGATTATTATCCTTTACTGTTTGTATCAAAGAATCCATCTAAAACAGAAATAAGGGCAAAAAAGTTAGGCACAATCAGCCGCAAAAACGCGACTGAATGCTTTGACCACATTTCTTTATCCTGCCCATTCTCGAACAAAATCTCTTGGTTCTCTACAGTAAATTTGCAAGGAGCTCGTAAGCGTTTTTCTTTGTTCTACGCTTGTGACATGTTGACAATCACATCTTCCACATACATTTACCGAGCTTCACAGTAAAATTTACCATCTTTCTTTACACAAAGGGCATGAAAAAATATAATTAAGCATCCGTTAACTACCATTAGAATGTAATTATTCATTTGATATCAAGAACTAACGTTGGGGAAACGTAGCAGTACCTCAGTTTCAGGCATGTGCAGCCATTGTTTAGGATCATCCTCGGACGCCAAGAAAGAAATTAGCTCCAGCGCTGTAAGGCGAGTCTGCCGCCTCGACGACACAAACACGAGCACAGGTTTGGTAGGGGAGTGGGTACGAATAGCGGCGAAAGTAGGCTTATTCATTGTTGCCATTCGTGGACAGTAGTGTTTGCCGGGATAACCAGATATGTGGACTTCTAGTGGGACGGGGCGAACTGACGGCCGGAAGTTAAACATACCAGCCTGTCAAATATAAAGACATCGGAAGTAACTTAGAGCAGGCATCGCAAAGTAAAGTGCGATACTCTCTTTCTAAGAGCCTACACGCTATTACACCCAGTGTAACTAAAACAATCACTGCATGGAGACGCCTCAAGAGGTAGGCAGTAACTGGAGTTTATCAAGGGTCGCTAGCAGTGGAAGAACTTGAATATTAGAGAGAGCTACAAGAAGGGGGCTTAACATAACTAACCAACCGCTTTTGATCAGCAGGAGCCAATGCGTTGGTTTGTTGCTGACCAAGAATGAAAGGAAGCCACCCAGTTCTATTTGACAGCTTGAGCAAAACATCAAACGGGTATCCAACTTACCGGACTCCCACATGCATTTTTATTATCACTATCATTATTTTTTAATTTTAGTTTATTTTTTCAAAGAAAGTTTTACCTAGGGGTGGACCATTAGAAATAACCAAAGGGGGGAGGGGGGTGGTGAAAATTTTTCAGCGCACGAATTTTTTTCAGCTCACTCGTCTGCAATATTTTTTTCTCTGGCTCTGCATGAATTCTTCTTTCAGTCACTGCTGGCAGGAAATTTTTTTTCAGACAAGTTTCCCTTGAATAATTTTTTGGGGGGGGGGGGCGGAATTGTCTCGAAATCGCTTACTTACCGACCGACCTACCTACCTAACCACCTACCTCCCTTTCTGTTAAAATGAATGCTGGCCGATTCTTATATGAAAGTACCAAACTACTTTTTCCAATTCTATTCATCAGTTACCTGAGCGATTCCGAGCCAGTCCGCAAGATCTGAGGCATTAGCTAAAGCTGTAGACAAACCGATCACTCGAACTGTCTTCTCGGTGTGTGAAGAGATAAAATTTGTCCGCGAAACGATGACCTCCAGAACCGGTCCTCTCTCCTCCCCCAGCAAGTGAATCTCGTCAATTACCAGCAGGGACACCGCCTTGACGTAATTACGAGTCTGCCAACTTCGACTGATACCGTCCCATTTCTCCGGGGTGGTCACGATCACATCTGCTTTAGCGATGGCGCGCATGTCAGGGGTCACATCTCCGGTTAACTCCACGACACTGTAGTGGTAGGAAAAGCCAGCTCATGATAAGTTTCGTTCGATTTTGACGCTACTACTTCACATCACTAATAAAATTTGGGAATACACTTTTACCATAACGACACAATCAATTTTGCTTTTAAAAATAATACCTTCTCCCTAATTTCTGCTCAAAGCGAACTTTCCAATCATCCATTCTTTCGCGAACAAGAGCTTTCAGTGGCGCAATATACACGGCCTGCAATAGAAAAAAAACTTTTAAACACAACAATTAACACAAAGAAGACATTCTTTTTCAACATTTTTACAGAGAACAGGTATTAAAAGCTTCACATTGGCTGCGATATTTATAAGAGTTGCTAATTTATGAGAGAAATCAATTATGATCTTCCTCAGAAACTGTAGAAAATTGGGATCCATTTACGTTTCTGGGAAACTGCCCACCTACCCCTCCCCTAACCCAACATTTTGCCCTAAGTGGGAAACAAGTGTTATTGCTGACTTAGGGAAGAGGTAGGTGGAAATTGATCCGAAAATTGTAGAAATTGGAAAGGCATCAGATTTAAACAAATTTCAAACCCCTTAGTAAAGTCTTTTATCTTTTATTTCCTATTTCAGCTTTAACTCGTTTATTCTAATGAGCCACCACATGTCGTGTCGTCATATTTCTCGCATTTTCTGTGTCTCTGAGCTCTTGTATTCAGGAACTGACGGAATGTGCAACGTACCTTAGTTCCCGGATAGACATTAAAGATGCGGAATATGGCCAGCTCAGCAGCCAGTGTTTTGCCAGATCCTGTCGGGGCTCCAAGCAACACGTTATGATCTGTGTGATACACCGTGTGAAATATTTGCGTCTGGACTGGATTAAAATGCGTGAACCTAAGGCACGATAAATAAAAAACAAAAAACAAAATAATTCAAAATAAAATTGCTGAATTGAAACGTAAACAACCTACTGCCAAGCCTGTTATGATTCGTGAAAGCAGGCACAATGCTAGAAGAACGTTTTTACAAAATGCAGCATCGAGTAGCATCTTTACCCCCACCCCTATCCCTCTGCTTATATGAAGTACGCCCATTTCAAGGCACACCCCTCCCAACTTCCATGCACTTTCATCACTGGTGATCTTGCAAAAAGACCCGTTTTTTTGTTGTAATATTTTACAACATATATTTCTCGTTTTTTGTTGTAATATATTATTCACCAGCAAGGGTGGCGCAGTGGTGAGAGCACTCGCCTCCCACTAATGTGGCCCGGGTTCGAATCCTGGCATCGACGCCGTATGTGGGTTGAGTTTGTTGTTGGTTCTCTCCCTTCCTTGGAGAGGTTTTTCTCCGGGTACTCCGGTTATCCCCTCTCCTTAAAAACCAACACTTTCAAATTCCAATTCGATCTGAACGCACGGACACGTTTCAACGAGTTCTTGTGAACTCCTTAGTGCTCCGTGGGTAAACAAATTACAATTTACAAACAATTACAAAAAATTACAATTTACAACATATATTTCTCGTTTTCAGTGATCCAACGGCAGAGATAAAACCGGACCACAGATGCATACTTCCAAAGTAGCAACAGCAGTTCGTCAGAGACCCAGACGCCTTATGAAGCAATGGCTTCGATAATCAAAAACAATTTCACATCTCAAACAAGAATCGTCTTCATAACGACAACAACAGTAAAACGCTCCATGGCTCCGTAAATAGTAAGACTCAACATCCACACTCACCGATAAAGTAGCTCGTAGTCCTCGCATTTCAGCGCGGTTATCGGTAAAGGCTGTAGATCCAGCAGCTCAGTGTGAGGAGGGTGTTTCTCAGGCAATATGAGGTGTTTAAATGACAAGGCGCACACCACTTCCGATCCTAACCACCTGTCAGAAACGCCACGCACGTAATACTGTGAAGGAAGTGGCTCAAAGATTGGAATCGTGAACACCAGCGTCTGCTCTTCTTCAGCTAAAACCTGACAAAAGAGAGTGAGTGGAACAGATAAAGAAGGATGAAGAAGGCTCATGAAAAACGCAAATAAAATTTAATCTGCCCTTTTGGAGTAGAAACATCTGTTTCTGTAGTGGAACACACCAGTGTGGTCAAACAAACCGCTCTCTACACTTAACACAAACGCTTTTACAATAACTGTAGGAACCTTCCAACGCGGAAAGACTCGCCGAGGAAGCGACAAGTGGTCACTTAATAAGGTTCTATTTACAGTGGTTTACTGACAGTTTTGTCCACCGGGACTCTAATAACTGACCACTAAATACAGGTTCGATTGATATATGAACACCCTACCTACTTTCTACAGAGTAATAAACCATTGCTTTTTCGGGTCAAACCGGTTTCAATCGAAGCAACCTGTTTCTGTAGCGATATATACAGTGAACAAGTCACTTTTAAAGTAGCAAAACTCTTTTTCTCGCAAACCTGTTTTTTGTGAAGCAGAAAGTACTCGGAGTGATAAATATGATTGTTGTCCGGATCCTCGACCCAGATCCACCACGGTTCTGATGTGCATCCATGAACCTTGTCATTCCACTTGAATTCAGGCTTGATTGTTAGCCGTACCCGCAGAACAGTTCTTGTGATTGGCTGAATGCTGGAAGCCAATGAGATTGCTGGAATCTGTTCAACACAGTTCTTGACTGTGGGGCCCATGCGCGGATGTCTGATCATGTGACCTAAAAGTCGCAGACAAGCAAAACAGACAGAAGGAAAACAGCTCATAAAGATTTTAGCCAGCTGTTATAACGGAACAATAAATATTTAACTAACAAATAACCTTCACTCGCAGCAGTGTTCATAGCTCAGTGACTACTGGGACCAATAAATGAAACATAACAAGGTTTAAAATGCCAATTCACAGAAAGCAAAGCAGCTGGCAATTTGCAAGAGTCATGGCGGTGTAGTTTCGGGACTAACCTTCCGAGTTGCAAGCTTGGAACGGCAATTAATTCTCCAGTTGTTTCAGTAAGTTTTCGTTTGCGTTACTAGCAATACCAGGAACGCTTAAGTTTCTGTTGTTTTCTCCATTGTCTAAGGAGCGGCATAAAAGGTTCATAGTAGAGACCTTAAGGTACACCGTTTCTGCGTACGGGTAAATTAGCCGTACCGTAGAACGTAAATACGGGTAAACTGCCTCTAACCCGGGAGAAACTACCAGGTAGAATGGTTACGCCATTATCACATCTGGGAAAAAATGGTTGCCTTTTATAAAACTACGAGGTAAACATGTTCACTTACCCGTACCCATAGGCTGAGACGGTGTATTTTAAGGTCACTAGGAACTACTCATCCCGGGTACGAGTTAAAATTGTAAAGGCCACAAAAACATACCAATTTCATCAGCAGTCATATCTCTCAACCGATCAACGGTCGCTCTTCTCTCTTCCAGTTTAACAAGTGTCTCATTCTTCAAAATAGTAAACTGGCGCAAAGGATTTTCAAATCCCCACAGTCGTTTGTCAAGCATTTTACACAAGCCCAGCAGCCTGTATGCCATGGTCGGCCAACCCTTGTGGAGAGCTATTTCAAACAGCCCTCTCATGAGGCGGGCAGCATTCTAAAGGCAAGACAAAAACAGTAGAAATGTAAACTGAACTAAGATGTTACAAAAACAAAGGCACAAGCAGAGGACTGTGAACCAAAAGGCCGCTAGGATAAGAGGCTCTATCTTAGTTTCAATCAGCCAAAAAATAAAGAAACAAACAAAGCAGCAATGTAAGTCACTTCGCATCGACTTATCCATATGTCAAAAATGAGCTTATAATTATCTTGTTTCTTTTTTTGAACCAGTGTGGAAAGATTATTTTACCTTCATGACGTTTACGAATGTTTTTTAGGCATGGTCTTTTCTAACAAAACAAAGACGCAAGCAGAGTCGAAACCAGAGGACTGTGAACCAAAGGACCGCAAGAATAGGAAGCTCTATGTTAGTTTCAATCAGCCAAAAGATAAAGAAACAAAGAAAGCAGCAAAGTAAGTCACTCCATATGAGCTTATAATTATCTAGTTTCTCTTTTTTTTATCCAGTGTCAGTGTGGAAAGATTATTTTACCTTCATGACATTTACGAATGTTTTTAAGGCATGGTCTTTTCTAACATTGCTAATAATCCAAACAACTAATCCAAAACTGTTATTCGCAGCGAATAACTTATAAAAATGGTTGAAAATTACTTACAAAACGCAAGTACTGCGGTAAGCGTTCTATACCTGAGCGACGTAACCCAAATCTGACACCAGTGAGAAGCTATCAACGAATCCTTTGGAGATGAAAGTCTGCAAAAGGATGTTGATTTTGCCATAACTATTCTCCACTCCTCCCTTGACGTGAAGAGGGCAGTGCTCTGCCAAGTGAGTCTCAAGCTCTGGTATCTCATCTTCACGGACCTGTCATAAAACAAGTGATCAATGAACGGTCATCAAATAAGGGAATTCATGTTACAGTCAAACAACCCTACTACATGGTTGGAATTTCTTTTCCCCAACAGCACGCCCTCTCAATTTTAGTTACTTTTAAGTCACGTGGCATAGACTGTTTCCCGCCAAAAGTTCCTGAGTGGGCAAACTGCAAAATCTATGACGTAAGAGGGTAACAGTGTAATGTTCCTCGTAAATTTTGACTGATTCCTGAGGGTTAATCTCGAAATTTGTAGCCGCAGTTCTTCGTGCGCTACATAACAAATCCTTTAATGACTGGCCGCTGGGGAAAGGGACAATTAAGGTAAATATAACTCGATGAGACCTGAATTAAAAAAAAACATAACAGCGGCCGCTTAATAAAGGTTACAATTACAGCTGATTGAAAAAACGTTGTCGCTTGAAAAGTATAAACCATGAACGATGGGGCCTAATGGATTTATGGGTAGAACTTTATTAGCATTGCAAATTTAAAGTTCTTCTCAAAAATGTTTACATCTACGAAGCTTTTCGCGACGACGCATTCCAAAAAACGTAAAACGGTTTCCAGTATTTACGGCTCACAACTTCACCAGTGCTGGACACATAAGAGATTTTTACAGTTAAAGAGCGTAGCCATATCGCTAACGCAAACTTGAAAATCATAAGATAAGACCTAAAAGCGTTCTTGGAAAAGAAAAAACGACAACAGCATGCCTTAAACAAAGTACTCTAGGGATTTGCATCCGCATGAGCATCTCGTGACAATGTAAACTTTTGTCGAAAGAACTTTGAATTTGCTTTGCTAATGTATACCCATAAATCCTTGAAACCTCATCGTTCATGGTTTACACTTTTTAGTGACAACGTTTTTTCAATCAGGTATATATGCCGCGCGGCTAAATAGTTTGTTTCTGAGTGTTTGCTAAGTGCCAGAGAAATACGTAATATGATTTGATTTAAAAATCTTAAGTTTCAACCGTGACACCATTCAAACTGCTATTTAGTGTCCTTATTACTCCAGCAAGGTGCCTTGTTTTCTGAAGTTTCTCTTGACCCCGCCACAAGCAAGAAAGACTCTTAAACTGAAATTAACCGCCACTATTAATGAAAACGATCAGAATAGCACATTCAAACAGACTCACCTTGACTTGTTCAAACTCTTGTGAGTGAGATAGCATGGCCAGCACTTCAGGTTCAGGCATATGAGTTTTGAACATTTCATTAAACACCTAAAGACAAGACACAAAAAAAGATTCATTAAGGTTGTTATATTCCGAGCCGCCAAAAGAAAAAAAAGAAAAGACGGAAAGAAAGAAATAAGAAATGCGGTATAACCAGATAACCTTTGCTTTGTTTGTTTGTTTGTTTTCATTTTTCTAGGCCGGGTTGTTCAAAGCTGGGTTAAGATAAGCCAGGGTTAGTGCGAAACTTGAATCCAAATTAGAAGACTTTCAAGCTAATTAAGTTTAATTCACTTTGTCTACAATTTGATGATTGGATGCTCTAAAAAGAATAAAACGATACCAGATTAAAATTTAACCCCGGGTTAGCGCTAATCGGCCTTCAAACAACTGGGCCCTGGGTATTAAAGTCGTCCCAAGAGAAATTGAAAACTCTGCTTATGCAAAATTTTTTGAGGGGAAACAAGGTGCATCATGGGAGATGTGCAAGTGGCAAATTGACCATTTTCGAATCCCACATACTACATGGACACTGTTTGCCCCACAAATTCTGCATACGCTATATTTTTCAAATGCTCTTTGGAATACGCAGCCCTTCCAAAAACACTGGGAAACAGAGTGTACTATGGGGGATTCACGTATAGACGGCAAATACAATAGCGGAGGTTCCTATAGATTTGTGTTTTATACTCACCTCTATAGTATCGTACTTGATGTAAAAGTGACTGGCGGTTCTTCCGAGGTCTGTTGAGTAAAGGTAGCCGGTTCGTTGATCAAACCGGATCATCTTTGCTTTGTCCAAATGACGCGCTGCGTTTGTGATCAGGTCTCGCCGATGCTGATGCAAAAAGGGATCTTCCTATGTAAAACGCACGTTAAAAATGACATAAATTTTGTAGCTTTTTACTACCTCAGTGAGGGGAAGTGAAGGCTTTTATAAGTCGCTTTAAGTACAAGTGTTAAATTACTTCCTAATTTTGACTTGAAATTTCATTGTTAATTCATAATTTCACGTGTGAAGTTGCAAAATTGCTATGTCAACGTTTCGCATAATATCAGTGTCAAGAAGGCGTCCATTAAAGATGTCATGTCAGGGAATGAAAACACGACGTACAAAACCTACAGCGTGTACATCTGTCAGAGCTGGCTTAAGATCAATCTACTCGCTGAGAGAATTCCACTTTTAATCAGAATTTTCCAGCCAGATCAGAAGTCTATTACTAACACGTGTGTACGGCAGAGATAAGTTTCTCGCACAAAGTCTCAAAAAATGTTCAATTCATTTTTCAAAAAGCCTTAGTCCAACCAGCCAGTTCTGACTTATGGTAAGCATTCCTAAGCACGCGAAAAAGCACAATTTTTAACAGAAAAAAAAGCATTCCTTCGGGTATTTTCTCAAAAAATTCAAGAGAAGTGAATGAAGTTCTCGATGTGATAAACACGTCAGAAACTCAGGATTCACTGTTAGCGTAATATATCACTCATGATGTCAATAAGAAATCAACTTTTTCCAGTAACGCGCCTGAAATTAAATCCTAAACAACGACTTTCTTGGTCTTTTATTTTTCTGAACTTAAGATTTCAACTCCACAACAATTGCGTACGTTTCACAAATCGAACGAGATCAAATAAGAGCAACGAAGTTTTTTTAAAAAAAATTCGCTTCGTTCAAGTAAAGTTTTTGCTATTGACGTCCGACACAAACCTCTTTTGTTCCATATGGGATGCCGTAAACCAGTGGATTGAGCCTCATTCGCAGATAAAGGTAGGTGTAACTCAACCATTCTACAGCTTCATCGACATTGGTTACTGTTCCAAGAGCGATCTAATGGCAAGAAACAAGCCAGTTAAGCGCAATTCACAGTAAGGGTGGGTATCCACTGTCGAGGTAATGTATGGAAGGTTACGCGTAAACGTAAAAGTTAAACCACGCTCAACTTATAAGTTCACTCCTTACATCGACGTCTCTATTTTATTTACGCGCGTAAAGTTTACGCCCAGCTAGCCAGGATCCCGGCAAGATGTTCTGAAAATTTTCTATGCTATCACGCTAGCCGGGCCAGCTTAGTGAAACAAACCAGTACAAGGAAGGCGGGAAACACTCAGCTCACGCACCTTGGAGTGAAACGTCACCCTGGCAAAGTGAGCCCGGCTCATGTGATGCAATGAGCCCCTGAAAGCTTAAAAAAGCTTTAAAATGCTATGTCACACAACTTGCTGTCTTTTTAAAAAAAGCTAAAACTTGTCTTCGCATCAAAGAAATTCCACAAATAATGGTCCAGGTTTGTTACTTAGGACTATATTTAGGCACTGAACTTTTTCCTGCATGTCGTCTGTAGCTATAGTTGGCAAGGATCGACATGAATTGAAACTTGAACAAACAGGGCTATTTTTTTCAAGTTTTAGGTTGTGGGTGGGGGTGGGCGCTTATTCGAGGCTGGGCGCTTGTAAAATTTTCCTCCCAGTAGGATGGGCGCTTATTCGAGGTGGACGCTGATTTGAGGTTGGGCGCTTAATCAAATAAATACGGTGACTAATTTCCGAAACGGAAGTGATGACATAAAGCAGCAATATCCTAATTACATAGCCCATTAAAGTAAAAGTAAAATCTGCTCACCTCAGCGTTTAAACTATCGGTAAGACTGGAAATGAATTGACTCTCGATCGGTGATTGCCTTGTAAGAAGCGAAAGGTAGTGACTGAGTTTGTCATGAGAAGTAATAATAATTCCTTCGCCTTGTTTATCAAATTGAGGCCGGCCTGCTCGACCGAAGATTTGCAGCACATCCAAGATGCCGATATCGACAAAAGAGCCTTTTTTAGCATCGTATACTTGTGTACCCTAAAGTTGCAAAAGAATATATGAGGGCATTTTAAAAGAGATTACTGAAGAGTTAAATCCTACCCTGCGAGCAGAGGTTTCTCTCTTGCATGGCTTTTTGCGTTTACGAAGTCGTTTGCGTGACTTGTCAGTGGCGTAGTTAGTAACTCGACTGACAAGCGACGCGAACGATTTCGTAAACGCTAAAAGTTTTGCAAGAGAGAACCTCTGCTTGCAGTGTAGCATCCTCGGAGACCCAGGGGCAGATAGTGGGGGTGACGGAAAGTCTAAACGGGCGGAAAAATATGGCACGAAGAAAAGTAAAGAACGGCGAGAAGCGCCCCTGGGGACAATGTCTTACCAGACCAGTTCCAAACGGTCGCCGCCGTTCTGACTTCTGATTGGTGCCAGAAAACTTTTGTGTTTTTCTGCCCGTTTAGACTTTCCCTCGCTCCCACTATCTGCCCCTGGGTCTCCGAGGATGGCAGTGTAGTTAAATTCTAATGACTAGCACTGCAATAAACGTAGGTTTTCCTTAAAACCAGAAATGGCTTTTTTAGGGGTGTCCTTCTTTTATTGCCTGCGTCGCAGGCGCTCTAAACCTTCTGTAACGGTTTAGACGAGTGCGTGGGCCGGCTGTAACTCAGGCTATTTTTTTCAAAAAAAAATTCCGAATCCACACTCTTTTATACAAAAAATTAATTAACTGAGTTCAACTTAGCAAGGCGTTGCAATCAAATGACGCTGTAACTATCTCAAGAAGACAGGCAGCAAAGCAAAAAAAAAAAACAGCAACAACAACAACAACTACCGAACAAAAGAACGAACGAACGAACACAACACATTTTAACCTGGTTCCTGCAAGAACCTTGAGCAGCTGCTGCGGACCCTTTCGTCACATGAGGTGATCAACATCCAATTTCTCCTTACAATAACAGAGCATAAAAAGCAACAACAACAACAACCGAACGAACGAACACAGTTTAACGTGGCTCCTACAAGAACCTTTACGAGCTGCTGCAGACGCCTTCGTGACCTGACGTGACCAACATCTAATTTCTCCTTACAATAGCAGAGCATAATAAACATGAAGGCCATGAGAAAAGGCGAATTCAAAATGAAAAACAAATTGTCTCAACAACTTATAATGGTATAAAATGTGGGGAGAATGGGGTGCGCAAAATGATAGGGCTGAAAGGGGTCAAAGGCGTGACGTCCAACCATTGAACCGCTCCCGGTGAACCCGATATTGCAAAAATCATGGGTTCCAATACCATCCAAGCTTGTTTTATTTTAGCTTCTCTTTCCGCAACCGCTTAATCTGCCTACACTGTAGATAACTGCGATAATTTTTCTCGTGTTCACTATGACTGTTATAGTGTCTCATGACATGACTATCTGACCTTGATGACCACAGCGTGAGCAGGCAGATTGACACCCCAGGCCAGGGTAGCAGTGCAGACTAGTACACGGATCAGGCCTCGAGAAAAAAGTTGTTCCACCATGGTGCGGTCCTGTCTCAGCATGCCAGCATGATGAATACTGAATCCGTCTGGAAACAGCTCGCGCAGCTGTTTGTTCCTTGATCTCATCACCTGTGAATTACACCCATTACCGATGAGCAAAGAAGTCAATAGCATGATGTAAGTCGGTCCGTTGACCAATCAAAGCGAAAACGATGAGCAATCCCACTGGCTACGCAGGCTAGAACTTTTTATGCATGATTCAACGTTATTTTGTTTTGTATTGTCGAACATTTTTAACATGAGCCTGTCGCTCGAAAGATTGAGAAACCACTCGACATTTAATAAATTATCCAAATTATCCTTATCCTTAACGTTTTGACGGACCGGATTGCTCGGTTAGCACGACGAATTTTAAAGTCGATTGTATTTATATGGAAAATTTCAGCTCCGTCCAGGATGACATTGTGTGAGTGATAGCATCCACGGAGGAATTAACTATTTCTCATTCAATATCCGGGTGTTTCTTGGTCTTGGTTCTCTTTTGTGTTTAGTGGTGTGAATGTTGTTCAGTGTCTTTACAATTTTTTGTATTTCGTCATTTGATGATTGCACCCACCGCTAACAGTTCGTGAGATCCCCTTCGCGCATCCATTCTCAAAACCCTAATATGGGCATCCCTTAACCCTACTAACCTGGCGAACGAACGTTTTTACTGTCGTGACGGAACGCGACACTAAAAACGGCTAGCACGACGAAACCCTAACCCAGATCGATTAATATGAGAAAATTTCATATCACTCCACTTTAACAAGAGTTTAAAAACACACGGATAGCATCCACAGTAACACCGCAACACCGAGAAATTCAATAACCAGATAATTTGTGACAATAAGGTAATAAAAAATTGGCCTTCGTGAATAATGATGATAAACTTGTCCCCTTTCAATGAAAAGACATTCGTATTTGAACATTTTCTATCCCAGTAACATACTGATACATTCAGCTCATATGTGAATGTTTCCAGCCCGGTAACGAGATCCCGAGTTTACAATCAGTTGATTAATGTCTGATAAAACTGGGACCAAGGCTTGACCTTCTCAACACACTCAACAATTTCTTTTTTCCCATTAGACTGACGTAGGTGGGCTCTGAGAAACCTTTCCAGCCACGTCATGCGAGTTAACAAATATGTCTTCGAAAATACTCAGATAAGACATAACTGTGTTTCTTTTCGAACGGAGCCGTAGAAAGTATAAAAACCTTTGAATAACAACTGTGAGATAGTACCAAACGAGCGCGCACATAGTTAGTTTATTAAATACCTGTTTTTCAGCCGCTCCATACTCTGGACTCGGCTCAGCCCGGAAAAGCGTAGCGTCTCCCTGATTGTTTGCCATTTCTCGTAATGTCAGCGCTGTTTTGACGGTGGCATTTCGCGCATGCACAAAAACCATCACCTGGCAATTAAAAAAAAGAAATTAACATGTCGCCTAAAATTTCACAGTCCAACACTCAATGAATTATACTATTGCTTAACCTGTCATCACAAAAATTGTTTTCTTGTAGAAGACGCTTCAACGTTTCTTGTCTTCAACTGGTAAGCCTGTTTCATATGACCAAATTTCCTTGGTCAATGTAAACTATTTCTTACCTGGTGTCCCTGTTGCACATTGTCCAAGACCTTCTCATAGCAAACTGTATCCATGTCATGCAGCTGTTTGACGTGACCCGCGCTCTTGATCCCGATAAAGGTCTGCCCGAGCGGGACGGGACGAAAACGCCCGTCAAAGAAAAATAGACCCTCATAAGGGTTGACCCGAAGAAAGTTTGCTACGTCAATGTAGTTTGGCAGAGTCGCGGACAAACCAACGATACGGATCATGCTTTGAGATGACTCCACCTGTGTGGACACAAAGTAACGCAACTGAGTTCAATAGTAAGACGTGGCAATAACTGATAATGCTTAAAAGAAACTTAGCATCCTGCAGTCGCGTGACCTGCTTAATGCGAAAATTGAGGTGACGAGATGAAACAAGCACGAGAAAATTGCAAAATACTAAGAAATGAGTATTTCAAAGTATGAAAAATTGTAGGGGGTTGTATGGAAAACTTGCTGGACCGCAAGGCATGTAGTCCAAGAATTTTTCCATTGATAGATATAGTGTTTTCTCCGTTACTCAAACCACAATAAAATTGTATCATTAAGGGACCTTAAGGGTTTAGACGTTTCTGTCTCTGTTATCCCAAAATTTGGCATGAGCCACAGTAGATCGCACGTTACCCTTAGCTGCAGAGGGCCTACCATGGTTAGTACTAAAAAGAAGTAGAGGAGCAGTTAGCTTCTCCGACTAGCTAGTTTACAGGCACTCCATGACCCGAATTAGAAAAAGGTAACCAGTCGCAAGGCTACTGACAAGCGTGGGATTGACCATGAATTAACATCAGGACTACAGAAAAATCTACATAAAAAATGGCAAGATCCCCGAGAGAGCATAGAGCCTAGTAAGAGAAAATAACTCAGGTTTACCGTTACTGACTGGTAGTGGTGGGAAGTAAACCTAGCTAGTCTGGTCCTTGCAGTATAACTCCTGACTTTTACTTTAAGGCAGTGTTGCTAGATTTGCTTTTAATTATAAAACCTTAAGTTTTGAGCTTTTAATAAACTTTAGAGGAAGACACGACCACAGTATACTCTAAAGCATGCAGCAAGGTTCTTTCTGAACAGTGAAAAAATGATGAAGTAAGTTCACCTGTCGAAGGGTCCTCGCAACTAAACACTCGATCACTGAACCTCTGTCATCATGCAACAGATGCACCTCATCAATAATCAACAATTTCACAAGCTGCGCTAGTGCCACGTCCCCCGTGCTCTTACGCGTCACCACGTCCCATTTTTCAGGCGTGGTTACCAACATCTGTGGACAGAAAGAGAGCAATTAAGATTTAAAACCTGGCTTACACGTTATCCTCTTCTTGACGTCCTTGTTTAGTAAATATTTCATTTATTAGAGTCTTGCCTCCTTCTACAAGTCATCAGTAAGAGACCTTACTGATCCAATGAATTTTTGGCGAACAGAAGACGAAAAGAGCTGAAATACAACTCATTTTTAGATTAACTACAAGGTGTTAGATACCCAAACACATCACGATGAATGATTTCCTTTGTCTTTGGCTTTTCAATTTGTAACTAGTTTTGGGCATTCTTAAGCAATTTGCGTTTAGAACTAACAAATCTATTGCACTACCCTTGAATGAAAGGGAGTATGTTACCTGAGTCTTGAGGATCTCAGCTTTTGTGAGTTGCATATCTCCAGTGAGTTCACGGACTGCGATTCCCAGAGAAGACAGCCGCTTGCCAAAGTTTTGGACCATCTCAGCGGCAAGGGCTTTCATGGGAGCTACGTAGATGATCTAAACAAACAAACAAACGATATAATGTCAGGGGGTTTAGACTGAGCAGCTCGCCCAACGAGGTTAAGTTTATTGACCGAGACCCTCACTGGTACTCTATTAGGATTAAAGGGGCTATTCAAATAATACTTAAGCCTAACAACATAAACAGAGACAGTGGAATGAAGCGTGAATGCGTACGATCAGACATCACAACAGCCGATCGATACCACAGACCGCTGAGGGAACGGTTTCCACCTTGGATGGAAACCTGCCAACCATGAGTGAGGTTCGTGATACACCAATCACGAGGAAACACGGTGGTACTAATAGTCCTACTCAGTGATTCTACACTATCGCCTGATGAAGACTACGCGGTCAGAACGTTGCCAAAAATGATAAATGATAAATGAAACCCTTTCATTTACATGAAGAATGGAGTTTAGTTCCCAGCGGAGCGAAAGGCTGTAAAACAGTACGGATATAAACATCACCAAGTATCGTACTGCATGCTGCCAAAGATGCTTTTTTCTACAGAGCAACTAAGATTTGGAACTCCTTAGATAAATCACTAAAAACATCATGAGACTTTTAAGAGATCAGTTAAGGACTATTTGTTACAGAAATTTCTTTTTAATTAATTTTAAGTTTTTTTACTGCTTAAATTTTTCTTTCTTCTTCAGATGAAGACATGTACATTAACATAGAATCCACCTACTCCTCCCCTAATCCAAATTATTCAAGTCGAGTGCCTATGAGTTAGCTGAAGCAGCTATGTGCATTTATACTATAAACATAACAATTACCATTTCCATCGATTTACTAGTCTACCAGTAGTCCCTTATTTTTCTTAAGGATTGTTGAGCGAGCGAATTATGCCAGCAACTCCCGCAGCAAGAGTGAAAATCACCACCCGCGAGATCGGTGATGCAAGAGGGAGGAGAGAAAATAAGAATGAAAATGTCTTTCATTTTCTCTCCTTCTCGTGGACAACCTCCACACTGGAGGAGATTTTCATGTGGGTTTGCGTGTTTCGCTCTTTGCACTATCCATGAGGAAAAGAAGTGACTACTCATAGACTATCCATTTACCATTTACCTTAAATTTATCTTTCTTGATGACTCCTTCTTCAATATTCTGCTTAATCTCTCTTAGGATTGTCAACATGGCAATGTTGGTTTTGCCTGCTCCCGTTGGAGCAGAAATCAGAAGATTTTCATTAGTATTGTAAGCTGTATCAAACACAATTGACTGGATCCTATTCAGTTTCTTCATGCCTTGGAATCCCATCCGTCCAATCTAAAAAACAATGAATGTTGAGATTGGTCAAGTAGTCGAATACTAAAACACCAATAGTAAACGGTAAAAGCAACTTCTTAGTCTGTACATAGCCTAAGAAAACAGCCACTATTTCGCGACGCCACCACTGGGTTCCCCGCGAAATGAAGTTTGAAGAACGAGCGCGGAAATTCCATACTGATGACGTGTCACAACCCAGATCTGGGCAGCGCTACTGATTGGTCATGCCTTTGTGGGAAAACTGCGTCATCCAATCAGAAGTTCACGTCAGTACGGCAAATTTAAATCTATACCGAAGTACAACCCACCTCATCCAACGACGAAATAGGGATTGGCGTTTCGCCTTCCCTCGGTGGCACAGGGTTGTTAGGTGGAATGACAACCTCCTCAAACATTTTTGTGTTTTTACGTTTAGCGTCCGCTGGTAAGGCGATCTGTCAGAGAAAAAGCAGAATTACATGTAGATAGTACCTTAAATTACAACATTTGATCCAGTTAACTCAACAAAGATAAACCTTAAAGTTTTTACTGCTTCAGGGGTACGCGTGGTTTGGATAAGCATTTCACACTTACACCAATCATATTTTAAGAGTACTCCTTGCATCAACATACCTGTAAGTTCTAGTCGGGGAAAGGCAAGATGTACCGCCGCAGCAGTGGAACACAAGCTCTGGATTGGTGCGTATTGTTATAGTAAGTTATACTTAGTTTATGCATTGCTCATTATTTCTCCCAGAATAAACCCTACATATTTATTGAACGAAAGTGAAAGAATAGAGGTGGCGATTTCGTTGGTGGCGAGACAGTTTAATAGAGAGGTGACCAGAAACGCGAGGGCGACAGTCCAGAAAGGAACAAAGTAAAAGGCTTATTAATAAGCTTATTTAAAGGCAGGCAACTCTCAAATATTGTACAGATCGACGCTTTATACACTGATAAAAAAAATCATTGTAGTTTCAACAATTAGGGGTCGATGGATATGAATATATTTATGAAGTATTCCGCTCCCGCCCTAAACAGCGAGCTCTCTGGGTCGAGGATGAGAGAATGGGGGTGGGAAACAGTTAAAAAATGGAAATAGCTCTCCTCTTCTTTACCACCCGCCCCAGAGTGCCTCCGCCCTCCTCCTCTCCCCCCTAAGAGAGCTTGCTCGAAGGCTACTCTCGTCCTTATTTTGCTTCCTACTTGGACGTAAGGCAGTGTGCATAACGTGTGATTCTTAAGATGTTACCATTGAAATGAAACCTCTTCAGCAGTACTTTCACATGGTACTATATATTTAGTATGTAGTTCTAACTTTTGAGTTTGTGAATGAAATCCAATGGTGTTACCATTCAAATGAAACCTCTTCAGCAGTACTTTCACATGGTACTATATATTTAGTATGTAGTTCTAACTTTTGAGTTTGTGAATGAAATCCTCTGGTGTGACCATTCAAATGAAACCTCTTCAGCAGTACTTTCACATGGTACTATATATTTAGTATGTAGCTCTAACTTTTGAGTCTGTCAATGAAATCCTATGGTGTGACCATTCAGATGAAATCTCTTCAGTAGTACTTTCCCATGGTGCTATTTATTTAGTAAGTACTTCTAACTTTTGAGTCTGTGGATGAATTAGTCCTACATGTATGGTGTGATAAATCAAATGAAAACTCTTCAGCAATGCTTTTGCTTTGGGCTATTCATCCCTTATGATTTTGATTTCTATTTTGGCCAATATTAAATGCATATTGGAAGTGAAAGGATTAATGAGCATCGTGCAATACCTTGGTGTCTGAAATGAAGGCTGTAGCGCGTTGTGTCTCAGCCAAAGCATCAAAAACGTGCGGGTAAACATGACCTGAGTGCATGCTCCGTTTTGGTCGTGATAATAATGGCGCAGTGGCTGCTGCCTGAAGAGCAATCTCTCTAAAGAAAAAAAAGAAAACAACAGCAAAAATAAACACACAAAGTTAATGCCACCAAGTATTCCAGTGCAGTAGGTAAAGGAGTACTACGAGCTAATCTGGCGGCCCACACGCCGACCATTGTTTTTGCTCAAATGCAAACTCCTTTTGCTACAGAGGAAACTAAATCACCCACACCATACCCTGGGGGCCAGAGACTTAAATAGGCTGATTTGCCAAGAGAACGGGAAGGTCACTTGACGACGGCGCGTGCAAATCAAACAAATGATTTGACCAATAGCAGAGCGGCAAATTGGGCACCGGAAGTCGTGTGTAGTCCTTTCCGCGCGCTTTCCCGTCGTAAACTAACGTTCCCGTTTTGTTGCTTAATCAGCCTAATGAAGCAATCCCCCATTCCCCAAAAGAACATACCCCCATTATAGCGACATAGTTTTCCCAGTCCCCTGGCACTTCATTGTATTGAGAAAAATGCTAACGAAATAAAGCAACATAACTGTATACCTCTGTAATTTCATGGAGTCGGGATCAAAACCAACAGCTCTGAGATAGGTTTCTTGATCGAGTTCTTGCTCATCTGATGCGGCATTTCTGTCTCGGCGGGCCTGACGTCTCTCCTCTTTCCGTTCCTCTTTTCTTACTTGTCGTATCAACTGCTTTTCTTGCTCAGACTGACAAGCGTAGTAAATAAAGAAGATTAACAGTACGGAGCAGTGGAAACCGGTCGTTTCGATACAAACTGAAGTTGGTTTGATACAAATCTGGAGTCTGTTCAATTCAGTCGAGGTCGTTTCAACAGAACTAAGGAACATCCTTTAACTTTAAAGATGTGGTCAGTCTCTAGCAACTTTCAAATAAATGCTTTTACAAAACGAAAGGAAGGTTAGCCCCGCTCAAAAGCAAGTTACTCGATACACTTTTGTCTCGTTTCGCCCGCTACAAGAAATGCTGGAGAGCGAAAATCATCTGAGAGTTCCCAACAGTAGCCTGAATAGCGGGGGTCCCAATGGGGACACTCAGGCAGGTCTGAGGGCTCGAGCGCGAAGCGCGAGACACGCAAGTGGACTCCTCTCTACGTCTCTCTCATGCCTCACCTTCACTAAAAGTCTGAAACTCGTCTGAGTGCCCCCATTAACGCCTGATTATGCAGAGTTATGATCAACGTGAACAGATATTGGCCAAGTTCTTTCACTGCGTTAAAATATAACTTGAAGATGATTCTATTAACTCCAGGAATAATAGTTGTGTAGTGTGCTCCAACTTAACAGTGTAAATGTATGAGATTCTTTAAATCTAAACATAATTGTAGTTACCTGGACAGTTACTTGACATCCATACGATGGTTTGTTTGACTGCCCTGGAGGCTTAACTCTACCATTCCCTATAATGTGGACAACAAACATTGAACAATGTCAGTGTCTAATGTTACATGTACAATGTATGATCAAAGATGTTCACAATGCATTAGTAGCAGCCTCGTGACATTGCAACATGCATTAAAAATGATTTGCCTACCGAAAATTTGAAATGTTCTATTGTTAGCTTTAGTGGGGTAAGGTAGTATGCACAAAAGAGAAGGAGGCCCACACGGCCAGAGTGGGGGCCTGGGGCCCGTTTCTCGAAAGTCCCGGTAACTTTACGGGCCCGAAATCAAAAATTCAAATCGAAATATAAAGAATAAGAGCGCGGGTCCTGGCTAGCAAACTACTCCATTTAGTTTCATTAACTGACAGTTTTATCATGTTAGATGCAAAACTATTGAAACCTCGATCTTTAAGGTAAACGGAGACAGCTTACCGGGCCCGTTAATTATCGGGACTTTCGAGACACGGGCCCCTGTTTCCCAAAAATCACGGAAATTAACGGCCTGGAAAGCTGTTGTTGTTTTTAAGAAATGGACAACAACTTTAAGTTTAAAACAAGACATGTTTCGATTGTTCAACGATCATCTTCCGTTGTGAATTCGTTTGTAAGTTCGGTTGAATTAATACAAGCAATGACGTATAAGTTAAAACGTGATACAAATCAAAATTTCGAAAAATTACATTCAAGATTGAGGTTTCAATAGATTTGCAGATAACACGATAAAACTATCAGCTAACAAAACAAAATGGACTGGTTTCGTAGCTAGGACTGCCCTTTTATTCTTAAGATTTTGATTTGAATACCATGTGGCACGAAATTTTTGGGGGTTCTAATTTTTGCGAGTTTTGCGTTTTTTTCAGCGATCCGCAAAAATAAGTTCCCGCAAATAAAAATTACCGCAAATATTTTTCCCACAAAAATTTACTTAATTAATATTCTCTAACTTAAATTCACTACACAAAAATGCAGTACTAAGAAATCGTGTCTGTTCAATTACGTCTTGCCTCTTTCGTTCAGAAACAAAGCGGTATACAATGAAATATCGACGCACACCGTAGTATTGTTTGAAAATATGCATTTCTATTGTATGTGCTCAATAAAAACGAAAATAATGTCAACGCTGGGTACTGGGTACTTGCTGAAAAGGGTAAAATTAATTCCCAGCCTGAAAAACCAATCTGCCCTAATCGCAAAAATTAGTTCCCGCAAAACAAAAAAAATCGCTAATCCGCAAAAATAAACTCCCGCATAAATTTCGTGCCACACGGTATTAAATTCTGGGTCCGAAAAGTTGCAGTGACTTTCAAGAAACGGGTCCAAGATTCCAGTTTCTGTAGCATAAAGCACCTAGGAGTACCACTACTCCCTCCTGCATGGGATGCTAGACCACTGAAGGGTTACCCCCAGCAGAATTTTAACCACCAGTCCTCGTTTGTCACCAGTGGAGCAAAGTTTTTCATCAAAGGAAACAACCTAATGGGTAGGGTTTGACCCCAGACCTACAGACCTGAAGTTCAAGGTGTTAATCTACTCAGTCGCCATGTTACCTTTCACTATAGTATGGGCCCAGTTCAATAATGACAAAAATTTCAGCATTCTACTAAATGAGCTGTTTAGTGAGTGGTTTCATTGCCAAGACAGTATCTGGGATGTCATCTAATATCTTATAACTCATTACAGTATTGCATGCATTTGTACCTGTATGTACGTGCTGTCGCTCACTGTACATTCAAATGGTTGTTGTTTTTTTTTTCCTCAAGAAGTAAAGTCTTTTTCCAAAATTTTTTGCAGTGATGATCCTGCAAAAATCCTGGTTTCCCCAAAGTCAAAGTATCAGCTTCAAAAGGGGAGAATCAAATGTTGAGGATCTTACTTTTGAAAATGTTGTAGCCTGTGGGTAAGTTATGATCTGTAATTATTGATCAGAGAAGGTTGAAAAATCTCCAGTAGGGTGTAGTCATTGATAATATTGAAATGCCTACAAGCAGAGGCAACATTTTCACCCTGTGAACATACCTTGGTTTTCTATCAAATCACCTGCACTTTCAGACGTTGCTATGACAATTCTGTGTCTGTCTGCCAAAAGAGTTTGAATAAATTCAAATCGATCAAAACCAAGAAGTTCAAACAAGTCATTCTGAATGGCGGCATTATCTTTATCAGAGGCAAGAATGTCAAAAATTGCCGAACAAAGATCAAGGACTGAAACACCACTGGAGCTGTCGGCAAAATACATCTCACACTGATCTCTCAGCCACGAACCACTTATATCATCCTTTCTATACGCTGCCTCACTTGATGGTTTGTCTCTTAACACAGTAGGTTCTTCCTTGACTGACGCAAAACCACTGTTAACATAAACATCTTCATCCTCAGAATCAGATAGCAAAGCCTCATCAAGTGAAAGGTCTTTCTTTTGCAATGGTGAAAATTTTATATCACTTCCAAATTCTTTAACAGGTTCCTCTTGTTTTTCTTGACTTCTTTTGTTGATAGTGGCTAGGCAGTTTTCAGAGAGAAGTGAAATTAAGCTGTTGACAATGTGACAAGCCTTGGTAGCTGATGAAGCTGGGAAGGCTCCAAAAAAATTCTTAAGTTTTGTACTTTCATTCTTTCCAATGTGATCAGCCTCCTTTAAAGTTACAAAAATGAATACTGAAGCACTTTCCACAGCCTCTCCACATGAATCTTTGCCAACTAGACAGACAAAAAAAAGACAAAATATATGGTTAACTCCAATAATGCACTTAAAACACACAGGACTGCATGGGAGCATGATTCTATTAAATAAAATCAGGGTCCATTTCTGTACCATTTACAGTGTACAAGTAATGTCATCACTTTTTGTTGTCTTGGAAAACTGTTCAACTGTTTATTAATTATTGTAAATTTTACAGAAAGCAATATCCACTGCCCGCAGTTAGCAGATTAGCTAGTCAAGGCGAGCAGTGGTTACACGTATGTTATAATGTACAAATAGCTCACAAGAAAGATGGCTGTTACAGTCAATATAGTTGAATAAATCTTCCAAATATGACTAGTTATGGGCCATTCAGAAAAAACACACCCAACAAGTCACAACAAGGACAGGAAAATACTAGTCATGGGCCCGGTTCCTCGAAAGATGGTTAAGTTTAACCCAGGATTAAGCCAGATTTCAAGCAAGGTTTTCCTGTCTAAGAACATGTCACTCGAGCTTACAAAATACTTCTGTGTCTTTACTCTGAAATTCAGTGATGATAACACACAATGTTTCTCTAAGCAGTGCATAGGAAGGTAAAGACAAAAATGAAACAAAATTTTTAATCTTGGATTAGCGTTAATCAGCCTTTCAGGAACCAGGCCATGGTCTCTCCGCCAACATCAATGCCGACTTATTCTTTTACAACATGAATGTTTTTATGTTCACCAACATTTGTGAGAAAAGGTCATCAAGAGGGAACAAAGAAGTGTGCAATTAATGCAAAGGGAAAGGAAGGCAAAGAAAATCGTAAAAAGAAAGCCAAAGTTATGATGTAAAAGTCATGTTTGATTTTCAGGTAATGTATGTTGTTATAGAAATCGTAACACTTTGATTCACATCGGGAAATACCACTCATTAATCAAAGTGACATTAGGCAATTAATCCAAAAAACTTATCATTCTAGAAACATATAAGAGCCATGGGAACCAAGCAAACTGAATTATCAATTATTACATACCAATTTCTGCAGATGTTTGAACAAGCTCTTGCAATAGTGTCCTAACCTAAAAAAAGAAGAATTTTGCTCCCCTATTATTTTTACCTACATGTACACTGTAATAATATTATATTATCTTCCAGTCTGTTTCATTTCATGAAACAATGGTCATAATAATACAGTACTGTTACTACATTGTAACAGAGCATCTTCTGCAATTATAACGCACTGCATTGTAAAGCTGGCATATGTACTGTACAACTTAACTGTCCTACACTGTTCAGCCCTGTGCTGTTCTGTGTACCCTATCTACTGTCCAGTACTTTTACGAGTAGAACAAGTCCCTAGAGACTTTCAGTTATAAAGAAGCCAGCGGCACTTTCGTTAGTTTAAAAAAATATCAGCAGTTAGTTAATTTAGTTAGTCATAATTATTACAATTTCCTTTTGCTTTTTTATACTTTTAAAATTTTGCATGCACTTTCTTAAACATTGGAATACCAAGGGTCCTCATTCATTACAGAAACGCGCCCATTCAAAAAGGTCGCCCGGGAAAAGTGGGGTACCCATTACGCTTTGCGAGCAAAAACAAGGTTCAAAGGCTACTGCCGCTTTCGGTGTCTTATGAACTTTATTGCGACCAACAATTCTCACACTTTCAAGAGACAATGCAGAAACAATAGAGGTAGGTTGCCATTGTTTTAAGTGTTGGAATGTCTTTGTCATTGCTACAGAGAAGAAAATGTTTATGCAGAAAGAAGTATTTTTCTTCCTCGCGCACTAACATAAAGCCCTCCCGAGTGCGGTAGTCTGGTGCGAATTGACTCGATGGAAAAACAATTAAAGCTAATCAAAAACCAACTATTCTTCAATTCAAAACTCTTCTTAACGAAAATCAGTCGATAAGATTGAACAAAAAAGTTTAGCAATGTCTATTATTATCAGAAGCGGTATTGTAGTTGTTTTCAAGAGACAGATTAGATCACTGTTCAGGTCTGGCGATTAAATATTATTTAGTTATAGCGTTGTTAAAGAAACTATCGCTCTAAATTTTGCCTTATACTTTGTTAAAATCAATATCTCAAATAAATAATGTAAGTGAAAGTGCTTTTTCATGGAATTTCAACGTAAATTTTAAGGTTTACAATATTATCTAAAACCCGCATTAAAATGTAAACAAACCACTAACGCATCGGTTGTGCTCATATTTTATCGATCGATTTCGAACACCATGAAGCATGTAACAGGTAAAAATTCGTTTTAATCGGAAAGTTGAAAAATTTATGACAAAATGAACGACAATCATTGAGGATTTTTCAATTACAAAGCGATTAAAAGCAAATAGTCACATGCTAATTCAGATTAAATTTAGACAGTTTTTAGATAGACTGAGCTATTGTTAGTTGCGTGAAATTCTATTCTTTGTCAAAGAATAGGCAAATGTTGCAGGTGTCTGAGCAGGAATAATAACCAGGAAAGGGATAATCATGGAGGATTTCTTGATTAACACTCAATTTACGTCATTTTTCACTTATTTGCATTTTCACGATCAACGTTTTTCAATGGGCGCGTTTCTGTAATGTTGATATCAGCTTGACTAGAAGGGTCTACCATTGTGAAATACAAGTACTATCTACACTGTACTTACTGATGTGTGATTTCCAGTACAGTCTGAACCATATAATCTTGTACCGTTCTTCACTGCAACTGTTCTGCACAGTAGAGTTCTTTACTGTCACTTACAATACTGTCACTATAATGTGTTCACTGTCTTGTACTATAAGTTTACTGCTTTTTACGGCCCTATACTGGCCAATATTACCCTTTATTTGATCTGTGGTGGGCTGTGTTGTACTTCTCCTAAAAACTAGAGCTACTGGCTCACCATGAAAATGGAATGGACAACAAATGGAATGACAACTCTATTCCTTCTAAATTTTCTACAACAACAACAATATATATCTAAATTTAACCTTAAATCTAAATTTATTGGTAAATTCATAGATGACCGGATCTTGGTGATCTTTGGGGCTTTCATGTATATGGGGAAGTTCCGTTTTTAATCCGAACCCCCGCCCCCCTCCCCTTCCCACCCACAACTAAGGATGACGGGTTTTAGAATAGGGAGTTCGGATTTTTTCTTCAAATAGGCCGACAAGTTCGGACAAATTTTTCAAAAGTGTCGACAAAGAACAAACCCTTTGGATTTCATTTTTTAAAGGGCGCCGACAAAAATTTGAAGGTTCGGATTCCAGTCATCCTTACCAGGGGGAGGCAGGAAAGCAGATAAAAATAGAACGTCCCACGAATACATTATTTCTGTATCTAACTAAACAAGCTTGAAAGAAAAACCTTTTTCTTGTCTGTTAAAAGTGATATACATACCTCCTGGGCAGCAACTTTGTCAGAGCTTGCCGATTCTGATATCAAATTTTTTAATTCCACCCACGACAAAGTTTTCGCAAGCTGCTTTCTTGCTCGGAGTTGGCGCTTCCTCTTCAGTAGGTCATTCACATTTTCTGGTGGACGTGAATGCGGATACGATACCCCTGAGAAAGCTCGTAAAGAACCTGTTAACCTTGGAAGTTCTATCGGTGGCATGCTATTTAAATGGAACTCGATCCGCGTCGCATACAACCCCGCATATAAGAAGCAAATTTGGCTGTGATCAGCAAATACTCCCAAACACTACCAAACGCCGTCCGCCATATTGTTTGCGCCCTGGGTTTCCTCAAGCAGCGGACGTTCCATACAACAGAAGTTATTATATGTATGCCTGAAGAACGTGTCTCTTACCTTCACTCGTCCTGAGAAAAGAGGATGATTTGGTGAGTTCCCTGATATTTTTAATTGTTATTTTCAAAGACAGGGTGATTGTCTCAGCAATTGAATCGTGGGGGTTTTTTAATGCCTGTAAAGAACAAATACTTATTCAACATTCTTGGAACGGTTTTAACAAACATGACCCCAGACATGTACTTCTTGAACCATCTTGGATCATAACCGGGCCTCTTCAAATTATCTTATTATATTCCTCGCCATCTGTATTTTTAACTCTTTAGTTGGTTTCTTTATCTATAGTTTATGTGAAACCGTATGTTCCTTGCCACGTAATAATACTTAACGCGTATTATTCTCATATTAATCGCCTAGCAAGGGTTATTATGCATGGTTGAATGTCTCTCCTCTGTCGCCATCTCCACGGATGATTATTAAAGCTTAATGCTCTCAATACTTAGTATCTTAGGTCCTGATTGTACAATTGTAGTGGTTTGAAATTAGACTGGGATGAGTGAGATCAAATCACTTACAAGCAGGTTTACATGAGACTGAAGAACCAATAATGTGACTCTGTTACAACTTCAACAACAGTTCAACTCCAGTTTGGTCTTCGTATCCCGGCATGTGTTATCGAACATGCAGTAATCGAAATGAATCAAATTTAATGGAAAGTGAAAAAATAAATGATCAAACAAAATCCAACTCACAAAAAAATTTAGCCACATTTATCAAACTTTCGTTAATCAAGCGTTTAATAATTCCTGAACTTTTGATTTAACAGTTTGAAAATAAATTGCCTCAACTGGTTTTGCATGGAAAAATCGCTTTCCTGACCCATGCATGATTTTCTAAAGCTTAATCTCGTGTCCACCCAATCTGGGAACGGCGAAGCTGACACGACCTGACACACATGCTGCCTGCTTGCTCTGCTGGGTCTGAAATTGAAAGCATTTTACTTGCAGATGGTATGACTGATACATAATCGATAGCAATAATGATTAGTTGAAAATGTAAGTGTGAACTACAGTCTGGTTCGATTCGCTTGCAAATGAATCAAAATTGATGAAAAAAAAAATAATGTGTTTGTGATTTCAGTATAGTGGAAAGGTTGCAGTTGTAGTTTGATATTCATTTATTACCAAAATAATTTAATAAAATAAAGAATAGAATAATTTGCCGCTCTGTTATAAAAACTTCTTGAAATTCATCTCTTTGTGTTCACTACATGATTGTATGAGTCTTTCTCAGACTACTGTAGATAGAACCTTTGATTTTGGTTTGGTCAACAATTATTATTTGATTCAATTATCTAACAAAATCAAATGGTTTAGTTTGATTATGTATAAAATTAACCTGTTGGGTTATTAAACTGACTAAGAATTCTGTGTTTGATTTTATTTGATCGCTGAAATCAATCGAATCAATCAAAATTTTGTTCGATTAGATACACAAGGACTTATGAACACTAAAATAATATTAATTATTCTTGCTTCTACAGTCAAACCTCCCATAAGCTATATCCCAAATGCATTTCCTTCCCTCATTATTGCTTGCAAGAAACCAAAAATTGTACAAATTGTTCCAGTTAACCAGCTCGTTCCCTTTTAAACTTACAGTAAATAAAAGTTTTGTGCATTATTTTTATACACGTATGGTGATGCCTTCCACAGATTAACTTGTACATGTACATGCTAATGAGCACAAATGTAAACGATGATGTCAGCAAAGATTTACCTTTTATAACAGTACTTTTAAATAATGATCCTCAGTTACCTCATAAAGATCCTGGAGTGAGGGAGACTGGGATTGAACACAACACTACTTTGCACAACACCGCGGCAAAACGCACTGCGCAACGCATTATCAAAAAATTCAACATCCGGTCACTTTCGTATTTTCATATGTAAACCAATTGAGAAAAATAAAATTCCTGTTGTGCGAGGTTTAAAAACAAAAAGGAAAAAACTACATGTAGAACAGAAGGTAAAGAAGAAAACTGTTTCTTTTGAAAATTCATTCATTTTTCTAGTTTTAGACTTCTGCACCAAGGGGTTTTCTGGTTTCACCAGTGCTGAAAATGATGTTTGAAGTTTGTAGGTCACTAACGCTCGACAAGCGAAATTGTTTTTACTGGCTTTCTTGCATGCTACTGGTTTCACATAGTTAATTTGGGAGGAGGCGATAACTGAGAAAAGAATAGCAATACTTATTAAAGAAAAAACCAAAATAAGGACATCATTATTATCATAAACACTAGAACCAGGGAATAAAAGTTTAGTCCATTCAAGAAAACAAGAAAAAAAACAAAGACGGGCAGGATTGGCAACCTCGCCTTGTTTTTTTTCTTTTTTTTTTGTTTTCGTGAAAGAAAATCAACTTACCTGATGTTCAAATTAGCCAAAATTACACGAGTAAGCTTCACCTTTTCTTGAATCTAATCGACTAATTCTTTCAGTGATCTGTGCCTGGTTTTCCATAAAAGCAATTTCACGAGCAGTGTGAAGCGGAACAACTGAACCACAAGCTGCCAGAAGCTGAGCACGCGCAGGAGACTTTGATCTGACTGGAAAGTGTGACTGAAAAAGTGACCGGAAATGCTTAACCTGGTGCATGCGTAGACGTTTTGCCACAATGTTACTTTCCACTGGTACTCAGGCACCAATGCTTGGACACCAGTTCTGAACCTAGCCTAAGACAAATGACATAATAGTTACACTTATTAAATTAGATTGTGTCTTTGTTATCTTTTTGTGTACATGTATAGTTGTCTGTGTGAAAAAGAAAGGATATGCAAAGTAAAGACACAACTTCTGATGGTGACGCAGATCAAGGCGTTAGCCCAACATTCATACGTAACACTATGATAAGCAGCACTATGGTCAGTGGAGAAGCATCTGAAACTGATGAAGAAGATGATGATGATTTTGACAGTAAACAAAGGAATGCAAATGAAGACGAAGCAGAGACTGAAAAAACACATTTTAAAGACGAGCAAGAACTTGACACTGAAGTGCAAGAGTTTGAGTTAGAGACAGGTGCAGAAGTTAAGACAAGAAGGCAGAAGATAGTTTACAAATTTGATTCGTAAGTACCCATTAAATGGCCTTCTAGAAGAGCACAAAAAACTATTAGAAAATGACACTCTATTTCCAGGAAATCACATTTAATTGAAGCGAAATAATTGTCCATGGTGCTGCAAAGTATAGGATTTGTCTACAGCAGACATAGCAAAGAACACTTGCTCTTTGGGTTAACAATATTTTTATAAAATTAAACAGCCTTTTATTCAACCCTTCAGAAAGTAATTAATTTTTATATGGCCAAACCAAATATCATTGAAACATGCTATAAAGTGTTCCATGCATGGCACAGGTTTCAACAAAATTAATCATTAACCTTGCATTTGCTAGGTGCTTCAGGCCTTGCACTTCTTAAGGAAAAATAATAATTATTTTTCCTAATAGAAGTGCGAGGCCTGAAGCGCCTAATTATTATTGTAGTATTTGTGTAGTGTCTTGCACTAAATGAAAATGTGTTTTTTTTCCTTCACATGTTGACACTGTTTAACTGCAAATCACAAGACCATTTCATCGAAAGCTAAGTAGGTACCTTTTTGAGACCCTGGCTTTTATAACCTTTCACTATTAATAGTGGGGTACACAGTCATATGTAAAAAAATGGTAAAAATTCAATTTTTTTGCGAAAAAATCTTCAAAAAATATAAACAGTACTATGCAAAAGTTGTGCCGAATAGGTTTCATTTGAATGATAACATCAAAAGTACCATGTGAAAGTACTGCTGAAGAGGTTTCATTTGAATGGTCATACCATACGATTTCGTCCACAGACCCAAAAGTTGGAGCAATCTGATTAGTCTCTCTCCTTCTGTTTTAGAGTGAAGGGATTAATGTCTTCTCAATGAGACTATAGAGGGAATTCCTCTTTTGTCACAGTACTGATTCACATACAGTGCATACAATGGTGTATAAATAATTAATTAATGGTGTCCTTTTTATAGGAGAAAGAAATCTAGAATTGCGAAGTGACCTTGTTGAGGGATTAACCCATTGTTACAAGTCGGCAGGGACCAGACTGGAAAGCTCCACATTTTATCTTAGCAGAGCACAAGCAGCAGCTCAGGTAAAAATAATGCCTTTTAGAGACAGTAAAGGAACTGTGAAGTGCTAACAACATTATCAGTTGGCCGGTGGACATCCTCCAAAAAACACAAACCACAGCCTTGTTTTGTCATGTGCCTGAGTCCATGATACTATCATCTGATAGTGCAGGGGCACCCAAAGTCAACTTTCGGAAAATATCTGTTTGGAAGACGATTTGAGATCTAGAATTTTCGGAACATTTGTTGTAAAAATCTTTTGCCTATTCCTAAACAGTAAAGGAACGTCTGAAAAATGTTAACAACATTTTCAGTTTTTCAGTGGGTAGGTCACCTAGAATTTTCAGCCTTTTATTCTGGCTGAAAATTTTCGAAATGGTTAGTTTCCATCCCTATAATTTACGGATCAAAGACTTTCACCTAGGAAATCCGAACAGATGAAAAATTTTTAGGGATAAAAAGTGGACATCCTTCAACAAAAACTTAAATACAACCTTGTTTTGTTTATGTGGTTTTGAACTATATTCTACTATCATCTAATAGTGGTCAGTATATCACTCATTTTATCAGGTTTTCCCTTGATGGGATGGACAAATTTATTTTTGCTCAAGTAACAACCCAAATTTTGCTGTTGGAATTAAAATATAACAGACTTTTTTGTCCATAGAGCACAGAGCCTCATTAATAATAATGTCCCTGGAAACTCTCTTCATTCTTCATTTTATGATTCACGCAATGATGAAAAGTGCAAAAATTTGGACTGATGAGCTAGACCAAATATTAGTCTTTAAAGGTATCCTAGTTTTTAAAAGACCTTTGAAAACTCGTGAAATTTGAAACACCTTTCTCAGCTTTTTTCAACCACTTGTCTAAAATGAATTTAGGTCACGTGACAATGCTGAGCCAACTCAGTCACTGTAGAAGACTGAGCGAGGCAGTCGAAAATTTCTATTTTTTTAAATATTCCTAGTGATTAGCATTATTATTCTATAACTACATAGGCAATAACTTGTTTTTTTTTTTTTGTATTTCAGGATGTCTCACACAACACAAGCCTGATGCTGGAAGATCTCACACATCTCTCAACATTATTGGAGAGCATTCTCGCATCAGAAAAGCTGTTCCCTCTTAATGTTAATGTCAAATATCAATCGAAGTCTGCCTAATATAAGAACCACTGACTGGAGTTTTCTACCAGCTAATTAGTATGCTTACATGTACACCATACACACAAACTTTAAATCAAGAACTGTGTCTATCTTTGCCGAAGAACAAGCAATATATGCCAGTTTTACCGTCTGAGTTGACGTTTCCGTTCAAGGGAAGACGTTTTATCGGGGTGGAAAAACATTTTTATTTATTTCTTCCTAATAATTTTGGGTTTACAGTATTATTGTAGCTCTTTCAGTTTTAGGAATTAAGGATAAGGAGAGTGAGTATAGAATCACGACATGATTTGCCCTTACGCTTAGAAACTGTGTAAATCTCCAATGGCTCACTGGTTTGCCAGACCTTTCAGAATGTCCATAAGTTTATGAAGATTTACAAGTCACGTGTGACGATTCCAGCCGCCTTCAATTTAAATTTCTATCGTCGGTGATAGTCACTTCAGTGATTTTGAAGTAAACAATTTTTTTCGCAACGATTTTCGCGTTTCTTATTTTAATTAGTCGGTAAATATGAAAGAAAGAGGAAAAGGTGTTTTGATGGAGTGGGGTATGAGAAGAGGCAGGAAGCAGCCGATCACTACAACAACGTTCTCTGGTCTATGGAACGAATCTCTCTCTGAAGACCATGAAAAATTTTACAGCGCCAGCTGGATGCCTGAAATGTCAGGTAGCGCGGAGCCGGTGTTTTGACTCACCCCATCCCCCTTCCCCCCCCCCCTTAAAAAAATATATGAATGCAGAGGTCCACTTTCAACCCGTAAATAAAAACTGACTGGTTCTTTCTTGCCGGATCTGTAATGTAGAGACGCTAAAGCCAGACAACACTTGAAGTGGGAATTAAAACAAAAATGAATGGAAGGCCCTCAAAGAGCTGATAAATCAGTTATATAAAAGGGTAAGGGATTGGACCTTAGGGAGGAACCCCCCCGTATAAAACTTTGTTGAGTACCTCCTGGACTCCATGTATGGAAAAAAATCTACCTTGGAACTTGGCTAAAATATTCCCACTTTCTCTATCTATTTTATCTAATATTTGAATTTATATTATATTTGGTAGATACCTTATTATAGAAAATTAACGCTCCATGAAATTAAGATATTGGAAATTAATAAAGGAAATTAACGCGATTAAGACACAGTTGGTGGTGACAACTGGAACAAATCTATTTCAATACTGGATGCCAAAAAATTCAAAACTGAGCCACGTGCTCGACACAATGGTACTCAAAGTTCTAAACGAAGGGGTTACGTATTTATTCGATTAACCGCCCTGGGCGCTTATTAAATTTTTGGACCTTGAGAGTGGGCGCTTATTCGAGGCTGGGCGCTTATGAAGTTTCACCGTTTTGTGTAGTATGGGCTCCTGAGTATGTTTATTTTGCAACAAAGAATAAATGCTAATAAAAAAAAAGACGCGAAGAGTAACAAAGCAAGGTTTCTGTAAGATATTCCGAAACCTCTTCGAGGAAGTCTCTTATTAGTACTAATTCAATTTCAATTAATTTCAATCTCATTGTCGCTCAAGAGGGGTGGGGCTGAGGGTGGGCGCTCAACTGAGTTTAATTAGGAGGAGGAGGGGGTGGAGGTTGGGGTGGGCGCTTATTCGAGGCTGGGCACTATTAACTTTTTCTGCCTTTAGGATGGGCGCTTATTCGAGGTGGGCGCTAATTCGAGGTTGGGCGTTTATTCGAATAAATACGGTACTCGACTTGAACAAATTACTTGAACAAGAAGCCAAATTTACAGGAAGAGTTATTTCAGTGAAGCCGAAAAGATCGCCACTAATTCAAGGAGGCCTTGAAATACCAATGGTCGTTTCTACCTAGTGGAACAATGCGAGAAGTCTGGCGATTTTGAAAGAAAGAACGGAGAGGTCTCATATTCTGTCGAGAAAGACTATGCTGACGATTCGAAATCTATCTTGGCCGAAATCAAAGGAGAAGATATTGACATCAATTGTGACAGCGACAACGATGAAGATGAACTCGAAATATCAGTGTAAACCTTCGCCTTAACTTTTGTGAAAGATGAAAAATAAAGGGTAAATGGAAAGAAAGAAAGCTTGTAGTTAATGTTTTTTAAGTGTCGAGAATGTCTGGACAGGTTCTAGCCTGCGAAAACATCCGTTTCTCCTCGCTCTTCGCCGCTCCGCGCGAAACGTCCCCAGCGGCGAAGAGCCAGGAGAAACGGATGTTTTCGCAGGCTAGACAGGTTCCAAAATTGGGGTTAAAATACTGGAAATTAAGAGCGCGGAAATTAACACTGCAATTAATTAACGTCGCGGAAATTAACGCTCGACAAAATTAACGCGATAAAATTCGCGTTAATTTCCTATAATAAGGTAAGAATAAAAATGAAATGAACATTACTTTGCACCCTCGCTTTCGAGATGCTTGCCTGTTCCAGGCTCGACCCTTGACCCTCGATGATCCTCTTCGCGCGTTGAGTAGCGTCTATTGGCAAAGGGTCAGTAAAAGCCCAGTTTTTCCCAATAAACAGTCAAAGCCTTTGACTGTTTATTGAGAAAAACTGGGCTTTTAAGAATCACAGTTATTCTTGTTGTTAACAATAAAGTGATTATAAGAAGTTTTGTTGGCGTTTTGGTCTTTTCACGACGCTAAAAATATCCTCGTGTTTCATACCCGAGGGGGATGCTCTGTTCGTCTGTTCAGGTGAATAAACTTTTCATGGTTAATCAGTTTACTGCGGTGGCCCGTAAGGGACATTACAATAGTTTTGTTTTGCTTAAGTTATCGCGCGATAATTTCAACTTATCGCGCGATAAGTTTAAATTATCGCGCGATAATCAGTCAGTTTATCGTGCTTTAAGTTTAAATTATCGCGCGATAATTAGTCAGTTTATCGCGCGAGAAGTTTGAATTATCGCGCAATAAGTTTGAATTATAGCGCGATAACTTAAGGAAAAAAAAAATTGCAATGTCCCTTACGGGCCACCGTAGTTTACGCTGTTTACTGCGCAGTAAAACTAGTGGTGTTCAAATAAATCTTGCCCGGATAATCATAACCCAGGGGGATGCTCATCCTCAGAGAGTCAGGGGCAGTCAGTCGGCTCGGGAGAAAGAGTGCGACGAAAGTTTACAAGTACGGGCGAAAGAACCCCTGGGTACCGACTCTCACCGAGCTATTTCCAAAAATTCAAGCGGATGCCGGCTCCTGATTGGGCACAAAAAATGCTTTGTATTATTGTGCCCAATCGGCGAACAGTTTCTCCTGAGTTCTTTTAGTGCTCTTTCGTCCGTACTTGAAAACTTTCGTCGCGCCCTTTCCCCCGACCCGACGGACTGCCCCCTGGGCCTCCGAGGATGGGGGATGTTCAGCAAAGTTATTATACGAGGAGGCTTCGTTGCGAAACAATCAGAAGCGTCCAGCCGGTTAGTTCCCCGCTAGCAGAGGCAAATCATAGATCGAAGGTAATATTTCCAAGGTAAGTTTGCAGTTACTGTTGTGATAAATATTTTGCATCAGATTTTGGTAACTAAAATTACTATGTACAGTATGTTGCCCAGTATCCGGCAACTTAAAACAAAAACTCAATTTTTGCAGCGCCCTTTTTAGTTTTCGGTAATCAAGGTATTTCGAATGGAAGCTGAAGATTTCAGGTTTAAAATGCAAGTTGTTTGGCGGGGCTTACAGCTTGAGCCCGGGGGGGCACTTGGGTTTTTTGTGGAGGGGTATGTGCCGCCCGGGACTCCAAATTGGCACCCCGTTCTAAAAATCTTCCCCTAAAATTGATACCCCGTTCTAGAAATGGGCCAATTTTTCATACCCCGTTCTAGAATTCGCCCTAAAACTGATACCCCGTTCTTCAAATGGGCCAATTTTTATACTCCGTTCTAGAAAGTTTGTAAATTGAAATAGCCCTGTTTTTTTGACAAGATATTTCTTTATTTGTTCGACTTATACATCAAATAAATGCTTCTTCATAATCAGCAACAATTTTAAGCATAAGATGAAGCCGTGGTCCCAAATTTTTTTATTTCCCATGGTGCAACAAGAGTACAACTGAGTTTGCTTGTTAATGCATTGAACCGTATTTTTAAAAGCAATCTGTCCTTGAATAATTTCAAATGGCTGCTTACAAAACTGGAGCTTTCGAGCGTTCGAAATATTATACCCCTTTCTGGAAAACGCCTCTGACATGCATACCCCGTTCTAAATCAGGAGCTTCAAAATCACGACCCCGTTGGGCGGCACATACCCATATAGGTAATGTATGGGAGTACCCCCCCCCCGGGAGCTTGAGAAACAGTCGCAGAAGGCGGAGGGGGGAGGGGGTTAAGTTTATTGGGTACTGTGTGCCGCTGGCCTCTCAGCGCCCCTACCCCATTATAGTCTATTCTGTGGCCAATTATGACCCCGTCTTCGTCACATTTGGGCAAATATGTAATTTTTGCGATCCCAACTTAGTCACTTTTTTTTTTTTTTTATGAATTGACCCATTTTTTAAATGGCAAAAATATACACCGAGTACTGAATTGATCACACTACGTGGAAATTACCTTTGAAAGACATCAACGCAACACCGAAAGAACCAAAAACAGAGCGGCGTCGTAGCCGTAGACAGCTGTTTCGCTCTTTATGGGGCACGGTAAGGCGCAACGAACAGAGAGGCTCTGCTGTAAAATTCCCGCACACTCAGTTTTAGAGCCCTGACATTGAACTCAAACACTCACAGATTCACGCCATATCACGTGTCCCCAAGAGAGCAAGAGTTCATGTGTCACGTTGATAACCATGCTTAGAAACATGGGCAAAACCATGCAAAAATGAAAAGCATATCGGGTCTATAAAAGACCTACGCCCCCCCCCCCCCCAAAAAAGTAATAAATTGATGTTTTTAAACCAATATGCCGCAAAACGTAGAACTGTCTTATCCCAAAAAATCCAAAAATGTGCGACCCCATTCTAATAACTCTATTGAAAATACGACCCCATTATGGTCAATCCAAACACACACGACACTGCATCGAACTAAA